GATGCAGAGTCTTCTGAACACTTTGAGTGGCAATTTGAGAATGTTTGGGATACGTTTCTCACCACGTGTATGCAAACCTTTGCTTCAGAATTGGTCTTCAATGGTGCCACGGCTAATGATAGAGAGTGTAGTGGTTGAGTGTGTTGACCACTTCACTTACCTGGGAAGTAGAATCCGCCCTGGTGGCTCAGTGGTCGATGAAACCTCTGCACGGATACAAAAGGCTCAGCTGGCTTTCGCCAACTTACGCCACCTGTGGCGCCGCCATGATATCCGATTGTCTATTAAGGGTAGTGTGCATTACACAGCAGTCCGCTCTGTTCTACTGTATGTCTGTGAAACGTGGCCATTGAAGGTGGAAGACATGAGAAGGCTGGCTTCAAGTGTTTGACCACCGTTGCCTTCGTAGTATAGTATAGGCCGTATTCCGTGGTGTCACCACGTGAGTAACGCAGAAGTCAGGTGTAGAGTTTTAGGGAGAAGAGGTAAGTCAGTTGATGAGGTTATGAACCTTCATCAACTGAGATGGTTGGGACATGTGTTACGTATGCCTAGTCGCCAATTGCCTCGTCATATAATGTTTGCCGAAGTAGGTTTAGGCTAGAAAAAGGCCCGAGGTGACCAGACCAAAACATGGCACCAATGTATGAAGTGTTTGACTGTTGGATTGAGTTATATGGGACGATGCAGACTGACTGGTTGGGGTCCGCGAGACAAGAGAAACTCGTGGTTGTAGACTGACTGTAGGTGATATGGCTCAGGACTGATGTCTAGTGAATAATACTGGGAAGACAGACGAGTCTATTGATGAGGTTCTGAACCTTCGTCGACTGAGGTGACAGACGTGTGCCAAGCATAACGAGCCACCACCTACCTCAGCGTACAATTCTAGGGGAAGTTGGATTTAGTTGGAAGAGGGTTGAAGGTAGCTAGACGAAGATGTGGCACTAGTGCATGAAATCCCTGACTTGCTCTGGGCCGTGCAGGGAGATGTAGACTAACCGGCTGGGGTCCCCAAGATGGTGGGAATCAGTGGTTGAAAACTCTTGGTGAAATGACTGAAAATTGATCACAATGGTGCAGATGTATTCACTCTTAATGTTGTGCAGTAAGAGTAGCTTCATTAAATGAATGGTAGGCTTTCACATGGATTTTTATGCTCCTCTAAGAAAGACTCATGATGTGTGCCCCAAAACCATCCTTAACAGATTTCAAGATAACAAAATTCATCACCGTCACTCGCTGTAATACTGATGGTCTTAGTATTGATAAATAAGTTGTTTTGTTCTGTAACATACTCATTCAACATCCTGTAAACCCAACGGATGAGTGACGGTTGTAACCAACGACATGCTTTATAGTACCACACTGTATACAGTTGCAGTTCTTTTATCTTAGTGAATACGTCTACCTAGTTGTGCTGGCGGACCAATTTTTGAGCCAGTATATTTCTACCTGTTGCCAGTACTCTTCCAGATGTATTCTATTGAGGCAATGAGTCATTCATATTCATTTTATCACACTCAGACAGTGGGTGCACAATCAGTAGGTTATCGCCTGTTAGCAATACCTCATTTTGATCGGATTTATCTTGGAAAACTATTATTTATTGTCATTAATTGAGGTCTGAATATATCATCTAACTTCATACTGAGAACCTTTTGGTCTTGTCATGTGTCTCTGCTTGCGGTTAGTCACACAGAGAAATGCACTTGTAATGAAACTGACAACAATTTGCTATTTTTTATTACACGTGGTATTAATAGTGTATCTGAATAAATAAACGTTCATATAATTAGATGAATTGTATGGCAGAGCTGAATCTGTGTTTTTTATGATCAATAAATGAAATATGTGTCAACTGGCTGTGAAGTTTCAAACTGGATAAAAGTGTAAACTGAGGACTGAAGTGTTTTTTTTAAAGAACTAGCGGAATGTTTTGCTTAATTGTAAGTGAGAGGTTAGTGAAAAAGCCGTTATTGCTACTTTGTTCACACCCATTTATCTTGTAATACTTTTGTGTTGCAAATAAAGTTAATATCAATCAAAACTATCTATTTCCAGACTTCCTGTTAAAGTAAATCCAATAATTCATTTTTGCCCCTTATATGCCAGGCTAAGGTCGTTGAAACCATTCAACTTGTCAAGTGACACTATCATTTTAAACTATTATAATATTAAAATCAAAACTGCTATGAGTAAATTTACATAATTTGGGACTAGTTTTTGAATTCTTCAAGAAATTGCTTTCGACATTTGTTCATAAGGTCGATATGCATTCTTCTATAAAAGAACCTATGAACATTTATAAGTTTTAGAACTTTTAAAAATTTATTAACAGAGGTTTGGTCCGTGACGTTAAATACTGTAGGAAACGACAGTTTCATAAGAAAGGATGTCAGACTTTTAACATCGTTCGGTATGTGAAAGCATGAAAATCCGTACATATTTTGAAAGTATAACAATCTCAGCAGTTCACAAAAGTGATTGAACGTTTAAGATAAAGTGGTGATACATCTAATTATCATTTGCTACTGAGTTCATTATGAAAACAGCAAAATTTCTATAATATTAGGCATACAGAAATTTACTAACAGAATGAATGAATCTACAAATTAATTCTAATGTACACAAGTCCTAGTGAACACTTAAAATGTTAGCTCTCTAGTAGACTTCCTTATTAGTTCTGCCTCCATATTCCCACTCCGCAACTCCGGGTGTATTTATATGTTATTTAGTTGTGAAAATATATTTTTCTTATAATGATCTTAGAAATCTCGTGCAACTGGTAAACGTCCAGGGAATATTACAATCATCTTTTGGTTCATTTAATACATGTGGGGATCGTATGATTGTTAATTCTATGCAACACTACATAGCATAACTTTCCTCTTAACTTCATTCATACTGTGGTGATCAAGATTTTAAGGTCTGAAAATCATCAGCTAAGGTTTCACAGAAGGTGTATGAAATCGGCTGCAATGAAGCGATGTATGTTATAAATATCATACATCGTATAAAAATTACTCATAACTTTTCGAATGAACCTTATGAAATAATTTTCCACTTGCCGAAATTGATAATCGGAGAAATTGACAAGGGGTTTTTGACTTTTTCGGTATGAATAGGTTATATTAATTGAGAAAATGCACTCATTTGTTTCATTTTCAGCTCAGTTTACTCATACTTTGTTCAATTTTCACGATAAAAAACAGGTTTCGTCAAATATAGTGTTAGTGCCACACCTAGGTTAGATTTTTGAATGCTAATAATTCAAAACATTAGCATTTAATCAGTGGTGGCTCACCATATTACTGTATTTGGTCTGAAACTTCGTTGATAAAATGTAATATTTTGGTTGAATAAGTAACAGAAAAAACAAAAAAATGGTTTTGGGTGATGGTTGAAGGTGAATTGAAAATCTGGGCTATGGTAAGATTCGAACCAGCGACCTCCGGGTTACCTAGTTGGTGGTGTGGCAACTGAATTATAAGACCCGACCGCTAACCAGATATCTATTTCACTTCAAACATAAAGGTTTTTGTGCGATTGCCATGCGAATTCGTGATGTATTACTATCGCTTGATCATATTCACACTGGTTGCCCAGTCAGGATTTCTCATCCCAATCCAAATGTGATTGAATTAAAGAGAGGGAACATCATATTGATTATCAGTTTGACTATGTGAAATAGCAGCGGTTTAGAGAACTTGTATTGTTACGGGGTGATACTGGGCCAAGATACTCATTTCACCTTCAACCATCACACCGTAACAAGTTTGCTATACCACGGCGATCTCAGATAATCAAATCACATCAGTGAAGGTGAATGTTGTTTATTCTACGTTGAGTAAATTCGAATATACTGAAGCGGCTTCATGTGGTTGTGGAACGTCAGAAACTTACTTTCTTACTTAATTGGGATTTAATAAACATATATCCTTTATTAAACATTCCCCTAATACTTGTTCTACCGAATTTCATTATTGTCTAAGTCCTTTTTTTCTTTTTTCAAAACTTTCTACCAGTTTTTGACCACTTTCTTCCTGATTTCCCTATTCTTCTTGTTGGTGCGTTCTCACTTGATGATCTGATACAAGATGTGGCAACTTGAACTATTACAATAGTAAATCATGATCCAATGTTGTTATTGATAGGCGGGTCATATTTTGATCGCGATGTCAACAAAAATAGTGAATAGTTGATATCCATCAACCTTAATTCATGATATTCCTATTGTAAGATGTAACGTGTTCAATGTTTCCAATAAATCCTAGACTAGAGATAGAATATATTATGTACTCAATGGTTCTTAGCTTCATTAGGTGTAAAGATTATTTTCAGCATATAGTTATTTTAACTGGAATTATTCCTGTAGAAATATCTGACTGAACACTAATCTTTTGCTCAAAAACAATTTCCCATAGTTGGTGCAAAAATCTTTGACCTGTAATGTTGACCAGGTTTTGCATAGTAACACTGATTTTCCTATACCAGTAATAGCTATTTAGATTACAACCAAGTGTTTATTTGACAACGTTCTTGTTGCGAGAATTGACTTCGGTTATTTTCAGAGTCGAGCGTTTGTACTGTTAAAATGTGAAGAGTCTGGATGAAGCAACTATCCAGGTTTTCTTGGTTTTCACTGTTTGTTACTTAATCATCCTATAGTGAGAAAAGACACAGAGGTCGAGGAATTTGGCCGCGCATGGCAACGGGGGAATTACAAGTATAACAACAACTAATACCCATGGCGTAGGAGGTGGCTATTGTGCCCCAGTGGCTTAGTGGATAACACTTTGGCATCGGAAGCGAAGCGAGCCTCAGTGGGAACAACATCACTCACCGGGGTACAGTTATATCCTTGCTAGTCACCAAGATCAGTATAATGTTGCACAAAATATTTAACTGATTCTAGTATGCAGTGAATGCAAACTTCATAGTATAATGCAATCTAACTATGTTACTCTCAATTTTCTTTATTCTTTATTTACTTCTAGGGTCCTCTGTCGACTATGAAAAGTCAATTTTTGGATGACTACCTTTATCTTATAAAAGTTTTTATTCGTTTCTTTGCACCTGATTTATTTTCAATTAAACCAGACAGAAATGTTTATCATAAATCTGTTATCATTAGATGTGTTGGTTGGTTGTTTGAAGGGATTTCAAATCTTTATACCATTGTCATATTGGAGCCAATTTTGAATTGTTTCTCTTTATATCTTGGTGGTCGAAAAAATTTTGGTCGAACACTGGTAACACTTGTACTTACTTATTTATGCTTGATTATATGTTTATTATATGCCTATCTTATACCTCGTCGTCTTTCTATGCTATACTCTTGTTATTTATACAATCAATATTATTCAACTGATTGCAACATATATTCAGAAGTTGTATGGTTTTTCATACATTTCTTATGCAGTCATTTATTAATTATTAATATATACTTTCATTATTTATCGGCTGTTTTTGTCAATCCTGGTAGTGTACCACAAATTCTTCCAATGAATCATTTAAAAAAATCACAAATTACTGTTTGTTCACGGTGTTTTGTTTCACGTCCAGTGAGAGCTCATCATTGTACAATATGCAAAAAGTGTATTCTACGCATGGATCATCATTGTCCATGGACAGCTAATTGTATTGGCTTGTATACACATCGTCATTTTTATTTAGTACTTATATTTATGAGTATTGGTGGAATATATTTACTAACTGTTGGTTGGTCAGACTTTAAAAGTTATTTGAGAGAACAAGATCAGCATCAAGTAAGTTCCACTTATTGCTAGTCAAATTTCTCTCTTTGCCTAGATTTGATGACTTGTTTCTTTTGAGATTGTTTAACTGGTTGTGAATAACTCCAAGATTTTTGTCTATCCTTTCTGTTAGTTATGTGTGGTGTTCGGGTTTAAAAACGCTTCAATTTAACACACTTATTATACTACATTGTTTAGACTCAAGTTGGCATTTAAATTCGATAATTGAGTTACTATCACTGAAAGAAAGTTAGTCAGTAATCATCATTCTTATATACTGAAATCACTGGTGTTTGTCTAAGACTCTTCTCAGTCGCTTCTGTTTTCTCAAAAAACTGCTGTCCTTTGTTGAGATACCTTGATTCTGTTCTAGTCTGCTATTTATAAAACCTTACAAAGCATCAAATATGCATGCATTTTTCTATTCGCCAAAGGTAAAGTGTCCTGGAAATAATGTTCCATCCGAAATAGGAAATAGGGCGAGATTGAGTACACCTATGAGTTTACATACATGGTTCTAGTAGGATTCGCTATTGAAGAATTTTATGCATAAATGCGTAGAGGCTAGTTGTTTCTTGCCTCCTTATGCTACCAGATACCATGATATTGATTTACCTGTTAAATATTTAACAGACAACATAATAGTCATTTCTGTTTGACTGCTTAACAATTATAAATTATAACTTGCATGTGGTTGTAATACTGAGCGATATGTAAGGACCCTGATGATAGGGGTGAAAATAGAGGACGGTAAAGAAATATATTGTATGTATCTTCTCACTTTCCATCTATACGTCGTTGGGTGTTAAATATGATGATGACATGGATCAGAAACCACGTACATGTAGGTGCAGTAGGCACTGAGTCACGCCTATTTTATGAGAGCTAATCGTACTATCTGGCTGCCAGAATCAGGTGAAGGTGGGTTTACAGCCCGTAGCCAATTATCGTAAAAGTAGGCTTGAAAAGCTTTTGAGACAACATAGCTACTCGTGAAATCGGTTGTTGTTGGTTTCAGATATATGAATGACTATGCATTTTTTGTTTCCAAAAGTGAACCACTTTACTGGTCTTATATTCTTTGCTTTTCTCATCCTTGATTTATCTTCGATTCTTTTTCATTGTTTTTTTTTGTTACTGTTCATCATACGGTTTGTGAATATCTTAGGCAGTTAGTCAGGTATGTTCAAATGTACTACTTAGTGTGCCTGTCCACATAGTTTTCTTTTTTGGGAAATAACATGCAGTTAGTTTTGAGAGCTTTAAGTTGTTATTTGGAAACAAATCCTTGGACCATCGTTTTGTCATAATTTTTAAGAATTACCAGCTGCAAATTAATTTTGTCTTTGTTGGACTTCGTTTCAATTCTTCTTTGCTTGAATAAAAATTATTTTAACCAGGTGATTGCAACGTTGTTTTTGAGGAATTGTCTACTGGGTATACAATGTAAAATAGGCATTAACTGTTAGTTAGTAATAATGAGTAGTTCATGTATTTTGATTAGTTTGAGAATGAATCTCATTTGTATGGATTATAAGTGATATAAAATCTTAGGTTGTAATATCATTGTAGACCATCATAGTACACAAGAAAATGAAATTTTGAATATAGATTGGTGCACTCCTTGGTTATTATGCTATAAGAAAAGATTATCAAACAACCTGGATAAATTTCTCAAGCGACAGTCAACTTGACATAATATCATTAATCTGAAGTCACCATCACAATTATACAATTCTGTGATGGTATTTAGTTTCCTTATTTTGTTTACCGTTTGTGTACATATATCTATTCTGACTATTATGTGTATTTCAAGTTGGTATTCATCATGGACTGAAATCATTTGGAACAACACTGGAAAACTAGGAGCCTTGGGCACCTGTTTCTTCCTAGTATGGGACTCCTCGACAGTGCGCACCCCTGACCCCTCCGGGGATCGAACTCTTGACCTCTTGTTTCCGTGGTCAGCACGTTAATATTGAGCCAGTAGGTTGGAATCCAGTGATCCATTTTCATACTTCTGTCATGTCACGATGTAGCGCAACCATCGCTCAATGTCTTCGTTGAGTATTTGTCCTCACATCCACTTGGTTTGCCCCTCTGGTCATGACTTCTCACCTCTCAAAGCCAGTCACCAATGAGTACTAAGTTCAGATTTGTGTTTTTTGTGGGGATTTATTAATTTCAAGTTGGTAATCATCATGGACTGACATCAGTCAAAGGAACAGTGGAAACCTCAGAGCACTGGACAGCCGTTTTGTCCTAGTGTGGCATGCACAAGGATACAAGAATAAGTGTGCCTTTATTGCTAGATGACTGTATCGTACATGTAGCGAATAAAACACAGTCTACCAGTTACGAAGTATTTTGACGACACCTGTTTGTTATTATTACAAGTTTCAAAATGTTTAGTGTATGACCTTTAAAAGCTTATTTTATGAAAAGTGTTTCTGCTTTTTTAACTGGACGATTATTTCCTAGATATCACTTGTTTTTGCATTTTTTTTATGTTGTATGTTATGAAAAATATATGAAGTGCAGTGTAATATGGATAGTCCATTTCTTACTGCAACAATAATGATAATATTATTAATAACAATAGTAATACTAATCTTAACTTAATTCAATTTATGTAGTCACTTCCAGTCAACTGTTCATATATGTTTTTTCTGCTCCACTTTAGGTGAATATTACAGCGAAGAAATCCTTGATTCAATCCGATAAGTTCATGTATGTTCCATCAAGTAAATTCTCCTGTTATTTATTCAAGGCATGTTTTCATTTTGGTTTTATTGCAATTCCTTTAGTGTGTGCTCTTTGTGCTTGGCATACCTATTTGATTAGCAATGGAGAGACAAGTATTGAACGGCATATTAATGCTAAATTTACACGTACATTGAGAGAAAGAGGAGTAATTTATCGTAATCCGCATAATTTTGGTTTATTTTTGAATTGGGTAAAATTTCTTGGTCTTATTGATAAATTTGATGTGGATTTGGCGAATTTGAAGTGCTTCCGTCTTTATGGTTTATTTTGTTGGAGATTGTTAAGTCGTGTTATACTACCTTCTTTCCACGCTCCTTATGATGATGGCTATGTGTATGAGTTAAATGTCACATCTGCCGAATCTATTATACAGTCACTTGCAGAATCTGGAATAACCTGACACAATGCCTTCACAGCTATAATTCTATATATTGATTGTGATAAATTTGAGGTCATGAATTATTGTACTGTTGTGTAGTGGAGCGATTTAGAAAAATATTTAGCCAGTTTTCCCCTAGAACTGCATTGTTATCAGGAAGCGACTTCAACACAACCTTGAATCCGTTGATGGTGATCCATTCCATTGTGAATTGTTCATCATTTGTTACCCTTATTTAAAGGAATACGATATCTTAAATGTATTTTTTCAATGGTACGTTGAATGTAACTTCTTGTTTTTTTGGTCGCTTTTTTCTTATCATTATGTGTATATACTTTGAATTTTCAGGAATCGTGTAACTACAAAACGTTTTTACCTATCACTGTAAATAACTAGGGGAATTATTTCTTTATATATGAATATCTAATATTACTTTTGTCATGTATCATTTTCAGATTGTGTTGAATGAAACCTGCTATTTCAGTGATACGTATAACGCAAACGAAGGATATACCATAGACACTTAATGTGTCTTATACTGATGACTCTCTTAGTACCATGGAAGAATAAATTGAGCGTAATAATTATTGTATTATGAATTTCAGGTCAGTATTAACCAGTTGGAGAAACATTGATAACTTGGGAGCGCTGGACGACTTTATCTTCGTAGTATGGGACTCCTAAGAAGTGTACCCATGACCCTCACCAGGGATCGAACTTAGAACTTTGAGGTTCCACTGCCAGTACGTCAACATCGAGCCACTGGGTTAGAATCCATTGGTCCGCATTTCCTGAAATCAATAAATAAATCCCCATAAACCCACAAGTTGAATTAATCTAGTGCTTTGAGATATGATTCCCTAAGTTCTAATGAGAAGTTGTGACCGGTGTCGCCAACCAATTAGAACGTGAAGACATTTATTCAATGACGGTATTGAAGGGAGGTCACGCTACGTCGTGAACTGATAGAAGTAGGAAATATGAAACAGTGGTCCAACAATAACGTGCTGACTAGGGGATTTGAAGGTCCTGAGTTCGATCCCTGGCAGGGTCATGAGTGCGCACCACAGAGGAGTCCTATAATAGGACGGAGCAGATGTTCAGTGCTCCTATGTTTCCAAAGGTTCTCTAGTTGATGTCAGTAAATGATGGGTGCCAGCCGGAAATCAATAAATATGCTACAAACCTCCAGATTTTATTTAGAATACAAAGGCGAAAATGGTGCAGTAAAACTGGGTAGAAAAATGCAGTAGACGAAATAAAATAGCAATGATTTCAAGATAGGCAAAAAGGGTACGTAAGATAACGACAGAAATTACAGAAAAGTATGGTAATGCTGAAAGGAATAATTTTAATAAGTACTAGACTAAGGTAGGATTTATTTGTATTTGTTTTATATATTGAAATTAATGGTTGTCTGTATGCAGAATACAAAAATAACTATAATACTTGAAGTCACTGACTTCTGGTATGAGCCATCTTCGTCGCCAACGGTTATATATTCCGAACGAATATAATGCGCACGCTTAACTGACCGTTAACTTAGTACGTAAGAGCCACTGATTGCAACCCCGGGTCGAATAGAGAGAAGATCGAAGCTGGGATGATGGGATAGTTTATTTTTCTGAGAATATAACAATAATAATAATCAATCCCAAAACACTTGAATTTGTACACACATGAATATGACCTTATTCGCAATTTGAGATATTGGCATAGTAAGAGTAAAAGACTAACCAATCAGAAAATAAACTACTAATCATACCGTCAAAAATGGTGTGGTAATGCTAAGTTAAAAATGTTAAGATCAACAACATTGTTTTATGCGTTACTAGAACCTCAGAAAACTATATCAGATAGTTTTTCGTGCCAATGAGTTGTATGGTCTATGAGATATATGAAAGAGAATTATGATATACCAGTAGATGGTTGCCCAGTACAACTGTCTTGCATTCCATGGCGCGATTAGTGTTGAATATAAATAACTGAGGCTTCATTTTGCTGTGATTGTCGGATACAGTTAGTGGGGGATGCGTAATCTAGTTACCGGAGGAACAATACGATACCTGACAATTGGCTCAGCTGATACATAAAGAAGACAATACTGGAGTGAAGAAAGTTTACTCCAACCAAGAGTATGAAAGTATCCGTCCAGGGACGCAACTCTTGCATCTGTGTACAATGTATGCACCCTTGGGGCGAACAGACACAATAGCCTATTAGAAGTTGAAGATTAACCAAACGAAAAACATCATGCTCAAAAGCGGTAAAATTGAACAGTACTTTTGGAGCAGAGATGGGTGCAGTAAAAATAATTCAAACTTTTCGCAAGATGAATCTCCTAACATTAGGCACACTTCATAGAAGTACACAAAGAACATGTGTGTAGAAAAGGAGTGTTATCAAAGTAGATAAAGTGATGTCACGAAATAAACAATCTGAAGACAAAGATCAGTGTTTATATTTAGATGTCAAGCAGTAAATACATCTGGGCCATTGTGGCTTCAGGGAGGACAAACCATGTGGGGATCAAATTGCAACGCTACGCTACACATCATCATAGAACAGAGCATAGAATGACAGTCAACTCTCTACCTCACCTCAACTTCTTCATCGACTTTGAAAAGGTCTTCAACAGCGTCGACCGAGAAGTAATTTGGTAGTTGCTTCAATACTACGGAGTACCACCTTTATCAAACCTTTATCAATCTCATTCAACAACTATATGAAGACGCCACATGCCATGTGATCCACAATGAAAGCAGCTGAGTGACACCTTTGAAGTGAAGAAAGGAAGGATTAAGACAAGGTTACCGCCTACTATCACCGATGATCTCCCTGATTGTGGTCGACTGGATCATGCAGCGAACCGTGACGAACGAGAAGACGGGCATACGCTAGTTGGACCGATGAAAAGACCCTAGAAGATTTGGATTTCGCCACCAATGATGATTTATCTTTAATATTGCACAAACTCGAAGATCTACAGGTGAAATTCAACAAGTTGACAGGAGAGTCGGGGCAGGGCAGCGAAGACGGGACTTCAAATGAATGTAGAGAAGACAGAGGTGATGAAGATACCCAACCAACAACAACAACAACAAGCATCAATCAACATGAAGGGGAGAAACATGAAGGAAGTATCCTCTTCCACCTACCTAGGCGAGGCAGCATCATTTCAACCACAGGCGGCAAAGATGAGGACGTCAAAGCCAGCATCGGAAAAGCATGACAGGACTTCATTAATTTGAAATCAGTGTGAAGATCTACTGCATTGCACTCAGCATAAAGCGTGAACGAGATCCGCATTTTGAACACCAATGCGAAGTCAGTGCTGCTATATGGTTCAGAAACTTGGTGCTTCAAGAAAAGCATTTGCAACAAACTACAGACATTCATCAACAGCTGCCGTCTGCACTCGATACTGAAGATCAGGTGTCCAGAAAGAATAGGTAACAAGGAACTCCGGGAGCGAACCAACGAAGAAGCTATCGCCCAACAAATATGCAGGAGAGTAAAGTGGAGATGGATTGGGCGTACACTGAGAAAGGCGTTCGGAGACATTACGTGCCAGGTCAGGCCGTCGAGTGGAATTCAAAGGGGAAACTATGAGTTAGGTGTCGGAGGTGAGGGTGACATGGAGATGGTGTGAGGAAGAAATGAAAGCTTGTGGGGAATGGTAGAGCGAGGTGAGTCGGACTGGAGAGAAGAGAGTAAAATGGCGACGTACTACTGAAGCCTTATGTCCCACTAGGAACTCAGTGAGCAAATAATAATAATTGTGACCGGTTTTCTGCCATGTCACCAAGAGTCCTTAACCGCTAATTGTTTTTGTCTCGGGACCTCAACATGACAATCTGCACCTTATATTGCTCAAGCCAACAGTCAGAGACTTCGTCGACTGATGTCAGTTCTTGGTGTGGCTATCCTGAACCCTTTTCCTCCCTAATCCAAAGTCTCCTAGCATGGCATGTCGAGGTAGGCGGTTGCTCGGCTGTTTCAGTGTATGTCCAAGCCATCTCAATTGAAAAAGGATCACAACCTCGTCACTCGACTTGCCTTTCGTAGCTATTACCTTTCGCTGTTTTTAGTAAGAAACTGAAAAGTATCCAGTAGGGTTTCCGGGGAAAGTTTGTTTGAGCGTGCTGCTTTTTCGGGAGTTGCTCTTGGATAGAGTTGATTCCTGTGCCTTACTCATCTATCGTATCCGATCTCTGCGTCGTATATAACGCTTACGGATTATCGCTCCGGCTATCCCTTTGTCGTAACCAGGTTGATAGTCATGGGCAAACACTGGTGTTCCCGCTTCGGACATATTTCTGGTATTCGCTGGTTGTCTTTTGGAAGGTTCTTTCGGGGCCACGATGTCATGAGGTGTTCTTAAGTTACACTTCATAAGTGCTTCAGTGGAAGTCTGACTTTCGAGGAACGCTTCGTCAGGTGTTGTTCTGTCCACAAACAAGAACTACTGAGTGTTTTCTGCCGGTTTCCCTTCTCTCTCCTGCTTGAGTAAGGCTCCTATCAGGGTTTGTATGAAGCATTCGACTTGTTGATGGTAGGGTGGTTAGAGAATGTGGTCAAACCTGTTAGTGAGACGGTATTTTTAGAATTGTTGGGAGGTAAACTGCAGTTTGTTGTCAGAGATGATGGTTTTGGGTAAACCATGGCAGTAGAATATATCGAACGGACTTGCAGTGTTTTGTGATAGTCGGCGGGTCTACTGACATGCTTCTGGGCCACTTCGTGCATGCATCGACCAAAACGAAACAAAATTTTCCATTTACTGGTCTAGAGAAATCAAGATCTGCCCGTGATCATGGTCTATCTGGTTACGGCCAGCGATCGGGTGAAACTTGCAGCATGTTTTGCGGCTTGTTGGTACTTTTGAAGGTAACGAGAAGACAGATGAAGGAAGGTATGTTTATTAATAACATGTAGTACGGTAGTCGTTAAGCATGTTACACCTTGCACTAATAAAGTCATTTGCAAAATGTGCTTCATTTTCTCTTCTGCTTCTCTCCTGATTTGTTCTTCATGTGCCCGCATTGTCTTTTGCGTTTCTCTGGGCAGAATCCTTACCCATTGCTGGTAGTTCTGTATGATTTCCGGCCCATTCTCAACATATACTACTTATAGTCATTCTTATTAGCGATGCCAACTACACTTTATATGGCGTTTCACATATTCGGTGATGCCAGCACCTATTCATTCAGCTGCCTTATCACAAATATGTTGGTGTCTAGCTATATCTTTGGCCGTCGTTAGGCTATTCCGTATTCTACGTAAAATAAACAAAACAGTTGATAAATCTCAGTATTCCGTTTAATTTGCTTATAGAATATGAATGCGTATAAGAGTTTGCATGGTGTCGATCAGTAGATTTTAAGGTATATTATGAGTCACTGTGATACACCTTGTATATTTGAATAAGAAAAGTATTTCGTTTCACATCATTAATAGCAAGAAATTAAAAGAAACTAGCTTCGTTTTATCCTAGTGCAATATTTTCTACTTCGCATAGTCTTCACTATAAATTACTGGATAAACGTTTTATATAAGGGTGCTCACAGTAACCGTATTAGTAAAGCGTATTGGCCTAGACGGTTATTATTCCTGTCTTTCATCCCGAATTACTGTAGCGTGGTTGGTTAGATTATATACGTATTTGTAGGTAATCAGTAGCATCAAAGATATAAAAACTGCTAAGATGTGACTGAACGTAAAAGATCCATCTTAATTATCTTATTAAAACTGTCATTACAGTTAATAATGATCTCCTATGATATGAATAATAGAAAGCCTGGAAGCTTGCTGGCAGAAGTTATTGCTACAGAAGAATCCATGGTTTGTGTTTGCTCAGTTGTACTGTTTATTTATGCATGTCCAATTTACGAAAAATACTCAAACGACACACATTACTGAAGTCATTGAAGCCAAATACATCCACCAAGTAGAAAACTGAACTGCCATTGAAGGCAACTCACTTGATACGGGTATTAACCTTCAGCAACAGACGTGGCTTGAACATGCTTTGCACTTGCTGAATCACCGCTAAACTCGATGTGCAATGTTAGTCGAATTAAGATCGATTTGGAAGAAGGCCGAGTTTGTCCAGACAAAGATGTACCACTACTCCACAAAGTCTCCGATTGTTGGCTCTAACCGTGTAGGATGGTGTTGACTTCCTGGTTGTAATCCTCTAAATAACAGAAATTAATCTTTAAAGAAACTTGGTGAAATGGTTTACAATCGGTTACAATGCCTCAAGTATATACACCCTATCATCTTTTGAATTCTCACATATGTCTATTTAAGTTAGTCGATTTATTCTGTCTTCTCTCATACATTTTGACCCACTTTATTGTCATTTTTTTATCCACGTCTTTGCATGCTGCTATGAAAGGCTGTAATTTAAATGGATTCACTTTTATGCCACATTCTACGTTGATTTGCAAATAATTCAGGATGATTGTGTAAGAAGATTATTAGGTAATTTGTCTAAATTTAGCTTTAATGGCGGATGTGACAAAATGAATTCCGATTCATCTTGTTTCTACCGATTTCCCCACAAATTATGTCTTCAGTTTCTAACATTATTGGTTTTGTCATGTTTCCTTGGGATACCTATTCATCTGTTACGTAACAATACTGTAAATGTATTTATGTAGAAGCTATGTATCTCTGACTTATCTTCGATTTAATTGAGAAACCTCTGAATCTAGAATATATAGGTTGGTGGAAACTGAAAGTAATTGAAACAAAAATTAAGAATATGCATCGCATCGTAAGTCAAACAATATAAAATCTAGCACAAAGGTTCAAATTGCCACATTTCACACCAGCATGAATACAGGAGATAGATAGAAATGGAACAGAACTATAATGCAAATGTTCATGAGGGGGAGACACTTTAATTCATCAGTTCTTCTTGGTGTAGCTGTTCGAAAATATTTATGTCAGTCTGATATCTTTTGAACCATTTTACTGCTACATCTTCATTTATTACTGACACCTTGACGACCCGCATCAGTCAGATTAATAGTCACAGACTTTGTGGATTGACGTTAAGTCTTGCTGTGGTGAAATGTCATTTCCTATCTTGAAATTCATAGTTAGCACTCTTTTTTGTCGACCAAAAGAAATACACATTTTAACACTAAATACCTTTATGGAGTTCTCTTCATGAAATTAAAAAGGATAACAGTGATGATTTTAGACTTTGGTGCTTTATCGGTTTGAACTCTTCGCTGGTGTTACTGATGTTAACAAAATATACTCTAAGTTCGTGTCAGTTTGACGTTTAACAGTTTTTCGAATTTTAAAGATATTTTACTCGGTTGGGACGGTCTAAACTCAATAGAGAATTGGAAAGGTTTTCATACTGACTTGCCTGTAAATCTTGGGAAGCTAATAGCGATAAGAAATACACATCAGTATCTCCTGGTCTTCACTTAGTGTTTGATGAACCAATTTTAATTCCCATATAATTGGTATTCAGGAGCTCAAGGAGTAACGAGGGGCCTAGCATTGCAGCATAATCGTCCAAGTAATGACATCTAATGTAGGCGAGTGCTTGAATGATTCTCATATGACTTTTATTTGACTGGGTTAGGTGTGGTTCCCTTTGACTGCGCTCAATTACCCGTTGTTCCAGTCTTCAAGAAGGGACAGAAATCCTTTTGTTATAACCACCCGGGAATCAGCCAAATGAACATAGTGTCTAAGATTCTAGGCTTAATGACTATCAGACGTCTCAGTGAAGCTCAGACACACGAAATCCATCAAAGGAATGGAGACATCGTTGTGGGTGTATTGACTAGATATTCAGACACCATCAGGTTCTGAAACACAGGCACACTTACCGACGTGCCATACTAGCCGTAATTGTCGAAGGCACTATTCTACTCCGTCGGTCGAAAAACCTTACTGCCCTGCATCTCACAGAGAGGAATGCCAAGTAAATACATCACCCTGTCGTGAAGGCCCAGCATTTGAACACCTTTCTTTGCGTCAAAGCCTACGGTGTGGTATCAGGTGAGTACTGTACGTCGAGTAGGCTCCGTCAAGGATGTTCACTGTATTCATCTTCATTTAATTTTGTCGTTGAACTAATCATGTGTCCCTTTCGTTGTGACTTTGCAGAGATTGGTCTTGTTGAAGGAGACTGCTTAGTAGATCAACAGTACTCAGTTGATGTAGTCCTGTTAGTTGAAGACGATGAAAAGATTCAGAGTTTTCCGAACACCTCGAGTGGAACTTCGAGGATGTTTGAGCAGTGTTTCTTGCCACCTATTTGTAAATTCTCACTCCAGGACTAGTCTTCGCTGTTGCCTTGTGTAACAATATTGAGTGCAGTGGCTGACCACTCCACCTGCTGAGGTCGGATTGGCCGTGGCGGGTTAGTGAACGACGAAATCTCTGCACATATACAAAAAGCTCGTTTGGTTTTCGCCATTTAGTGTGCTATTGTGGTATCCGATTGCTCAATAAGAATGGAATGTACCGTGCTGCGGTTCGCTCTGTCCGGCTATATGCTCATGAAACATGGCCATTAAATTTAGAGGGCACTATAAAGCTTCTGATATTCGATCACCGTTGTCTTCGTTGGATAGGCCGTATGTCGTGAAGTCAGTAATGCAGAAGTCAAGTGTAGAGTTTTAGGTAGGAGAGAAAAGCCAGTTTATGTCTATGAGGCTGTGAACCTTCATTGACTCAGAAGTCTGAGATTTGTGTTATGAATACCTAGTAACCATCTGTGTCATCGTACAACGTTGCATCAAGCTGCAAAAAGGTTAGTGGGAGTCAGACTAAAGCATGACATTAGTCCTTGGAGTCTTTAACCATTAGTTTGAGCAGTGTCCAGAGATGTGGACCTCCAAGTTGAGGTCCATTCGAAAGCAGGAGCCAGCAGCTGGAGTCTCTAGATGACATAGGTAGGGATCTATGTCACTGGTGAAGATGTATACACATATCATCATCTCATTTGTCACACCGAATTTCAGTATTCTGTCATTCTTCCTTTCTATATCTGATGACTTCGTATCACTTTTTCTTGCTTTCTTCTTCTACCTTTCATCTTGGTGTATTCTCGCTTGATGTGCTGATGAGGTGTAGCAACTTGAAATACTACACAGTAGTGCCAGTAGTAATCCAGGTTTCTTGTTGATATTGGCTAAACTTAGGTTTTTTAAAAATAGTAATTTTTTCAAATTTCTGAACTTGATAGCCTCTTTAGAGTTAATGGGTTACAGTGTTGGATAAAATCTGTATTCAGAGGGATGCGAAAACTTATTTTTACTTCCTCGAAACTGTTTAGTATAGAAAACTATAAAGATGAGGTTATTCTACGCTCATTTACATTCATCTATCTAGAGTGACTTTAAAGGCCACACTAGAAACTGCTGAGATAACCAATCAGACTTTTCTATTTTATGAAAATCTGCCTTTCCAACCAAAATGAAGAGACCTAATTAGTCATTTCGATCGTTGCTAGGGTTACCTCTAAAGTCGCCCTCTATATGATGAGCAGTTCCAATATAACTATACTGCTTAACAAGAACATTTGTAACTAGTGCAAACAAAATTATCAGTACCATTCTTGTTGTCGCAGTCAATCACACAGGAAACATTTCGACATATAGTATGCATGTATTCCACCCCAAACTCATTAAGGGGACTAGTTAAGAAGTGAAGCAAAATAATTCCATCGCTCATATTCCAAGTACCGCTTTCTAACCAGACACATGACATTTCAAGGTCACACGAATTGACCTCGTGACACATGAAAACAGAATTGGTCGATAAATAATTCACATTATGGAAATAAGTGGAACGCATCAATAATAATACTATTCTACGCTATGGCAGCTAATAAAGGGAATACACCACAACAAAATGTCTATGAGGAGAAGTTATTACAACAGATTGACAAATTGCAATTGATTGGTAGATTATTGGCCTTTCGTTTATCAAAATCACAAGAAGTAAACAAAAAATCAGAGGCAACATTGAAAAAAGTACAAAACTCAAAAAGACAATTAAAACAGCAAACTAATGAACTTATTGGTGATATGGAAAGTGTTGTCTTATCAGTTGTTACATCACTGAAATCATTTCAGTCAGAAGCTAGAGCAACTTTATATAGTTATCAGTCACAATTACTAAATTCTGAAAAACAATTACATGAAGCTAGAGATACAATACGTCAGTTAAATGAGAAAACTGAACATTTAGAAACGTTATTATTAGAAAATAAGCGTCTATTTGAAGTAAATTTACAAGCTATACATATTACATATGTGAATATAATAGAGAATATATTTGAAAAGTTACAAGAATTAATTTTCAATGACTTGAATTTATTAGAACAAAACAATAATGATATACATACAGAATTTAAAGATGCATTAAAATCATTAGGTTTACAGTGTACATTTCATGATATTTAGTTGTCTATTGAACAGCGCACAATTGGAACATTGAACCTACTAAAATAAATTCAGTTAGACAGATACATTATTTAGAAGTTGCATAACTTCTAGCATTTCGAAGACTTGAATTGTACACTGATGAAATAAATACGTTTGCAATTTATAACTAATTAAGTACTTTCCCAGTCTGTCGATTTCAGTCATTTTTGCTAGTAATTAATGCTTAATTAAGATTTATCGATGATCCTTATTTATCATGAGAATATTAGTGAGTGCTGATCATCCAATACAATTAAGTGGCGAAGAAGATAAAGTAGTTTGATAATGGTGACGTAGTTAATTGTTTGGAGCATCTACTACCATTGTTAATATAAAGTGGTGTAATATTGACGATAGCTGGTGATACATACTGGTGGCAAACACCATCTATATTTTACGGAGCGGCCTATGTAGTACGCATTTCACATTGTACTCGGTGATATATTGAACACTGACTTTAAAACTTAATGTTTATTTGATTGTCCTGATGATATACAAAATTCTGTCTCCTTCCTGCTGGTTTCAAACCTTGAATAATTTAAAAATTCCTATCATGAGAATTAGAACAGAAGACGTTAATGAGCGAGTCTGTTCTCAGTTAGATCCTCTTTATGATTTACATGTAAAAATGGAGTCAGTCATGTAGATTTGTTGGTAAGTAATACGTGATGATCATACAGACAAAACACACATGGGACCTAACATTATTGCGTGTAGGTCCAAGTAGCCATACCTCGTGTCAGTATATCAGTTTAGAATGCACTAAAATGAAGAATCAAGAAATGAAGACGAAAGTAGTCATAAGGATTAGAACTCGTCAAAAAGGGACAAATAAAAATGACACATTGAAATTCATTTTGGCTGTTAAAATTAGGTTAGTGTGTGGATAAATCTGCGCCACTGAGCCAAGTCACCTAGACTCTCCAACGAACAGTTTCTGTTATCACGCGGTATAAGTTGGTGAAACCCAAGCAAGCCTTTTGTATATATGCAGAGATTTCTTCGGTGGCTAACTCACTGGGACTGATCAGACTTCTTTGGAAGGTGAATTGGTCAGCACGCTTAGCCACTTCACTCACTACTCTTTCATAAGGCATCAATGAAGACCAGTCCTGGAGTGAGAATTTACAAATAGGTGGCAAGAAACACTGCTCAAACATCCTCGAAGTTCCACTCGAGGTGTTCGGAAAACTCTGAATCTTTTCATCGTCTTCAACTAACAGGACTACATCAACTGAGTACTGTTGATCTACTAAGCAGTCTCCTTCAACAAGACCAATCTCTGCAAAGTCACAACGAAAGGGACACATGATTAGTTCAACGACAAAATTAAATGAAGATGAATACAGTGAACATCCTTGACGGAGCCTACTCGACGTACAGTACTCACCTGATACCACACCGTAGGCTTTGACGCAAAGAAAGGTGTTCAAATGCTGGGCCTTCACGACAGGGTGATGTATTTACTTGGCATTCCTCTCTGTGAGATGCAGGGCAGTAAGGTTTTTCGACCGACGGAGTAGAATAGTGCCTTCGACAATTACGGCTAGTATGGCACGTCGGTAAGTGTGCCTGTGTTTCAGAACCTGATGGTGTCTGAATATCTAGTCAATACACCCACAACGATGTCTCCATTCCTTTGATGGATTTCGTGTGTCTGAGCTTCACTGAGACGTCTGATAGTCATTAAGCCTAGAATCTTAGACACTATGTTCATTTGGCTGATTCTCGGGTGGTTATAACAAAAGGATTTCTGTCCCTTCTTGAAGACGGGAACAACCAGTGATTGGGGTTAGTCAGAGGAGTTTATATCTGACTCCCACACGCTAGTTTGCACTTTAGTTGGCTTGACTAGAAGCTTTCTACCATCATGTTTGAATATCTTCAGTGCCACCTTATCCAGATACCCCTCTTCGTTTCTTACTACTTATGGCTTTCTCGAATTCTGGAAGTTTTGGTGCTTCTATCTCGATGTCTCATTCAGGATACAGAATAATATGTGGAGGACAGTGGAAGTGTTCTGCACCTTGTCCCAGTTGACCTCGCTGCAACTTCATCACACACCCATGCTTTTCCGTTATAGTCTCACTAACTATTGACCCTTCTGTTCTAGTTTCTTTGACAAGTCCAAATAGCTGCCAGCTGTTGTCCATCATCACTACCTTATCCATCTCCTGATCCTTCGCTATCCACAACTGCTTGTGGTCATTGAGTAGAGTTTTATCAGCCCACATTTGATTAACTTCCGCACCTTCTTGCGCTCAGAGCCATGCGTGCATTCATTAGTTTAGAAGGAGCTGGTGAAATCCGCTGGAATTTTTTCACCATTTTCTGAGTTAGCTACGGTTTTTAACTCTGTTATTGCGACAGACTAGAGATGGAACCAAGTTGGTTCTAGATGAAGGGTTTTTCTCTATTCCAATTGTTGCATAGCAATTTTTTCGCTCAAAGAACTTCTTATATTCTTATTGTCACGCTGTGCTTTGAATGGTCTTTTTGCTGCAGCTAATCGACGCCTACTTAGGCGCCAACATATATGTGCTCGAACTTATACGTGACAACTTTCCAAACATGTGCGCCAGAAGGAGTGTCAATCTCTTGCCAACACTCTATTGTGATGACTGATACATTTATGGTTTATCTCTATGACTGAGTCTAGGTCGCTGAATGCCACGTCAGGAAATGCCTATCTTTACATCTGAAGTGTGTACTGACCAGAAAAAGATGGTTGTCTGATTACATGTAGCAGGCGATCGTCGTTATCTGTCAGTCCGACTGGGATTCCAAAAGCGCCACCTAAGTGTCTTTTTGTGACATAGCCTCCCCACCTTTGTATTGAAATAATTCCCTGCAAAAATAACCTGTGAACATTCTGTTTTCAGTAGGAAGCTAGACAATTATCGGTAGAACGCATCTTTCATTTCATCTACTCTGCAGTCAGTGGGTGCGTAAGTAGATTCTAAAGAGATAATGTTGGGTTTCAATGTTTTTTTTTAATCATTACTGTCGTCCAGTCGAACAGCGCATAGATGACTGTCAAATGGGATTCAGTCGGGTAGTGCAATTTTTAATTCAGTGTATTGGGTAGGTAAGGTTAAGCGAACAACTGTACCTGGGTCCTGTATGTGTCTCACAAAAGAAGCACACGTTAATTGCTCAAGATGCCTAAATTTTGGTTAGCGAAGCTTGTTGGTCAAATTGACAGAGGATGTGGATATTGAAAACTCAAATATTCAGGCGGCCATGAGTGTTGTTACGTGAACACAGATTGCCAACATGAGCTGTAAGAATTTAAAGATGAGACAGAATAAATACTGTCATCCTTAATAAGTTATTAATGTTCATCAAAATCCTTTAAACATCGTTTTTACAAATGGATTCATTCCACAATGCAATGGGTCAGTTGGATACATACATGTTTATAGGGTAATGGAGTCTCAAAAAATAATAACACTACTCCAAGATGTATAAAATATCCACGGGCTTGAAGAGACCCTATCATTAACCGCTACAGATAATGTCGATCCTTTAAGCTGTAGTATCAACAATATTATTACTCTGACAGCATATTTCACACTATGAAACTCTTGAAATCGGTCACTATTTGGAATATATACCGGAATTTTAAAAATATCTTTAAACGGATTGATTAAATGTATTTTTATTGAAGCCAATATGGATAACGAGTATAAAAATGCATGATTTTAAAGGTTTACGCTCAAAATAACATAGTTGAATGCCGTCCTTTGAGTTTCATAGATGCCCGCTCACTATAGATGAAAGCATCGAAAAGTGTAGTTTGTTTGAAAAAAGTTTTTTTTTGAATAAATCCAGACACTGTTTAAGTTTCACACTTGAGGATAATTACAGTTATAACATTTTTAATATGGATCCGATTATGAGAGTGATTTTACAACAGTAAAAAAATTTGATTTTTTTTCCTGCTCATTAGCCGATACAAACATCTACATACTGTAGAAGGAGAGGGTGAGGATTGAGTCCTAAAAAGACTAAATGAAGAAATGTTAAAGTGATCGCTAATCGGTGACTAGTCAGTCTTCGACATCCATCTTGCATTTTATAAATTAATTAAGAATAAAAGTATCGTAGGTAGTGAAATGAAAAAAAATTCAAGAAAAAAGCTTCAACGAAACAACAATACACTCAAAAGTGTTGTTTTTAAAAAACAAATCCGTTACGTCAGAAAGATAAGTACCCTTATGTATAAAATAGAAAACTTGATAAGAGAAAAAAGCACGACATTTGGTGAAATCCACAGAGAAGTTCAGTAGCACAGTCATAAAGTGATACAAAGAGAGAAACATGAAAACACTCACTGAAGTTATCATTGAGCCGTAAAACTTTAATTTACTATTCGTCGAAAATATAGTCATAATATACACATAGAAAAAAACAAAATCAGAAATAAAAAGGATACAATCTGTTTTCATCCAGTAATAATAAGAACAATATGTCCAGTCTAGTCAGTTATGTACAAGATTTTCAAACCAACTGCATTAATCCCCCTCCCATATAGCTTTCTGAGCCTGACGAATTGCTTCTGCACGAGCTAAAAAACGCAGAAAAGAAAGTTTGGATGCAAATAACGTGTTTATGAACTGGTTAACATTGTAATAACACAAAAAAATCAGCAGGAATATACTCACAATTGGATACAAGTCAACAACCACTCACAGATGTATGTGTCACGCAGTAAGCCATAATAATAATAATAATAATAATAATAATAATAATAATAATAATAATAATAACGATAATGATAATAATAGTAATTAGTAATATTAATAGCGACAGCGCAACTCAGTTTGGTACATGTAGGTTATGAAAAGCACGTTGTGTGAAGGCTAGTGAAACAACTTGGTTTCCGAAATGAAGTAGGTCAGGTGGGGTTCGGACCCAAGACACATGGCCTTAAAACTCATTGCTTAAGCAAGTGAGTCATCGTACCAAAATGAACCACATTTCTTGTTTGAGGGATACAAATCTGTTTGGTTACCAAAACATTTTTAGACGCAACTGATTTTAAATTTATAATACACTGGATGAAAATAAGGTGTATAATGCAGTGAAATAAAACAGCGAGCCTACACAATTAGTGTGGTCATAAAGATAAAATTCTCGATACATTTAATATGTGATTTCAATTAAAAGTATTCTCAATGAGTATACGTAAAAAGAATTATGCACTGGTCGCTTCAGTCAATGGTTAATATATCTTATAGCATGATTGAATCTTTATAAATGTAACTAACGCAGATGTCTGATCATCACAAATATAAGTTTGTTACTTTACTATTTATTTAACATAAATTTGATAAAGCCGAAGTCGCTTCACACAGTATAATATCAACATTACGAAAAGATAGATAGTAGAAAGAAATCAGGAATAACAGAATGACCTTTATAAAAACTTTCAGTTATTGAAACAAGAGCATATGCAAATTAAAATGTAATGGTGACTACCTTTGAAATACCCGTAAAAGCTTCAAACCGCAACGCTAAATCACCTAGTGAACCTGGATTATAAAATCACGATAAACTAATATATGCGAACCTTATACAATGGTCTTTGATTGAAAAAAGTGCTAGGTCGTGAACAGATAACCAACATGTGGTTACTAACTTTGAACAATAAGTTCTGCACTGTAATTTCACGTTAATTAGTCAAGATTGTATTTTAGTACAAAATAGTTGGGAGAAGAATACCTTAAACTCTAGATAGATCACAGTTAGGTATCCTGATTGCTAGCTGCAACCCCGACTTTGGGATAACGTATCACAGTGACCCAACGACATGCCGGTGGTAACGTCTCTTCCTTGAAGTCCTATCATACCATAAAAGTCTGCTGGATAGTTGTCAGACAAAAAAATAGTTGGCGTTTTAGTTTAAATAAGCACTCTACGATGGTGGTCCGAGAGCGAAGTCCCACTTCTGGTTGGAGGGGTGTGTGAAAGCAGTAAGGTGGTTATCACCAATGACCCGCAGTAACATGCTGGTCCTGCCCACAGCATAGGAATAGGAGGCCATAAAAGGTCGGGCCAAGGATTGAAAGTTTGTTATACTTGTGGTCTTCCGGTTGATGGTGGTACGGAACTTTGAGCTGGATTCAATACAAAGTTAAATATCAAACTTCCGGAAAGGATATATGTGTGACTGACCTTACTGTATGGAGGTTTGTGGGAACTTACTGATTTCAAGGTGGCATTCATCAAGAACTGACACCAGTTGGAGAGCAACTAAACAGCCATTTTGTTCTAGCATAGGAATCTTCAGAAGTGCGCACCCATAAACCCAGCAGGGTTTGAAATTAAAGTCTTCAGGTTTCGTGGCGAGCACGTTACCATTGAACCACTGGGTTGGAATCCAATGATCTATATATTTCTACTTCTGTCAATTCACGACACTGCTCGACCTTTATCCATTGTCACAAATCTCCCAAGTGAACTACTGTTCAGTGCTTATTAGTGACATGATTCGAGATTATTTCCCAAATTTCTAGTAAGAAGTTTTGACCGGAGGTGCAAACTGAGTCGGACGTGCGAACAAATACGCAACAACCGGATCAGATGAAGTTCACGCTGTATCGCGAATTGACAGAAGTATAAATATGTGGACCACTGAATTTTGACGTAATGATTCGACAGTAACGTGCTTGGTGCGGGACCTGAAGGTCCTGGCATCGATCGCCGGCAGAGTCATGGGTGCGTATTGTTGGAGTCCCACACTAGGTCGAATGAGCTGTCCATCGCACTTACGTTTTCACTGGTTCTCCAAATGATTTCAGTCCATGATGAATACCACCTTATAATCGTGACAGTTGAATTCACAAACACTCGATAATATATAAATATGATGTTGCTTACCACGTGCTTCTCGTAAAAGGGCTTTATCTTGATCTTCTCTAGTAGCCTCCTCGACAGATTTGGTTTTGACACAAGCAATACCCAGGTGATTTGAAATCAGCCTCCGAGCTGTTGAGCTAGTCGTAAGTGGACGCTTTTTGTATGGCATAGCCCAATCACCAGGTGAACGAGCAATTTTCCACTTGCTAGCCAAAGAAGCATCTTCGATTCTTCGAGCCTAAAAGTTGAATTGACTTTTATAAAAAATATTTGTAAATATTGACAAGAATGGAGTAGAACTATTAAGATATTTTTTAACGTTTGAGGCTCTCGTTGAATTTAACACTGAACTATCATGTGCAATTATAACTATATCACAGCATTTGCGTTATTTCTTTATTACCCTTTACTCATTATTTACGAGTATTATTATCATCACTTATGCAAATGTTAGCATGGGATGCATGCAGCTATTACATTTTCGAGTAAAAAGTGTTCAATATTGTCTATATTGGTATGCATCTGTAGCAATATGGTTCGCTTTCAAGCATAGTTGGCATAATCTGTCCCCTCAGTTATTGTCGACTCTTTTCCAACTACCGCATAAAGGGTAATCTGACACTAGTAAGGAAAATGATAGCCGATGAAAATGACACAAAGTATGTTTACAAACAAAAGGAGTAACAATCGGATCACCAGTATCCTCAATCATAGCAGATATATTTATGTATAGTTAGGAAAACATGGCGTTACAAACGTTTAGTCCTGTACCTGAGATATAGTGGCGATATGTTGATGACAGACACACTTACTGTGTTGAAATCGGAACATATCAACAATTTCCTCACACGTATAAACCCAATAGTAAGCGCAATCCAATTCACTTAAGAGGCAGAATATGAACAGGGAGAATTACCTGTTGGACTGCAGGATAAAACGAAGGACAGACTGTGGTTTGGATACTACCGTCTACAGAAAACCAACACATTCCAACAGGTATCTAGACTTCAAGTCATCTCATCCAATGTCAGTTAAGGTAGGTTTAGTCAAATATCTAAATGACAGAGCGAAAAACTGACTAGTCAGTGCAAGGACCTAAACAAGGTACTGAAGCACGTAAAAGAAGCACTAATAGTTAGCTATTATCCTTTGCAGTTTATTGAGAAATTCGTGCGCGCACACAAGAAACGAAATAATAACAGTAACACGAGTACGAATAATAATGACAACAAGAGTATAAGGGAATTCACAGCCTCCATTGTGTTACCCTATAAAAGGAAGGAACACCAGAAATTTTATGTAGTATCGTCAACAAAGCTGGAACTGGGGTGGCATTTAAACCTACAAACCTACTCAGAGATGAGCTGTCGGCTGGCTTAAGGATCCGATAGAACTAATTAGGCAAAATAATTTAAATCTATCGAATTCCATGTAATGACTGTGATGTCAATTAAATAGATCAAACTAGCCGGCCGAGGTCATTTAGAATAGCCAAACATAGGAATTTAGCTAAATATAGAACGACAAACCCAACTAAGATCAATAATCTAGGAAAAAAACTCGACTATTGCAATGGATACATTGACATACAACCACAATATTAGGGTGGAATAAAATCACTCTACTTAACTCCAGTGTAATTAGGTAGGTAGATAGGTGGAGACAGAGATTGATTACTGAATGTTTGTTCGTCGAATCAACACCTAACACATGTAATAGAAATGATGTAATATCTATACCAGTGATAGGGAAAATCCTAGTACCAATAGAAACAAAGAATAAGAGGTGACAGGATTATAAAAACCAAATGTCGAAAGTAGTGTGATTACATTGATATGATTATGAGCAGCAGTTTATGCTCAAAACGTCATGAAGCAAATAATGCTGTATGACTGTGTTATAAATTAAACAAACAAATCTAATATGGGACAATTTTAACGTACTTATTATTAACTTATTACCTAAATTAAAAATAACAAATGCAAACTTTATTGGGATGATATTTCAAAGGATGTCATAATTCTATATTCAGAATACCTCCTATGAACCTTATCCTGAGTGTCAGTGTCTAAAACTTTTGCTTTGATACATCAGATATCTTAAATAGAAGACGAAATAAACATTTACTGATAAACAAGCAAAATCAGGAATGAATACTAAGGATTTTTACCTTCATGAGAAGTCCTGATATTTGAGCTAATGCACGGTTTGCCTCATTATTAGATGAAAACACAGCCAAACAATGTGCATCGTCAACCCACTTCAAGTAAAATCCACTGTCTTCAAATCCTGTAAGTTCAGCTTCCAAGTGAAAATCTTTAAAATCTTTTGGGAAATTATACAATTCCAGAATGTGTTGAAAATCTTTTAACTTTAGTGTTGGTTCACCAGTTTGATCAGAAGACTGTCCGTCATTTGATGAAGACTTATGACGGGAAAAATGCTTTTTGAACGAACTGTCATCTGTACTGGCACAACTGTCAGAAAGTAGGAGAGATTTGAAGCCTTGTTCTAAGTCGGTGACTTGTTTATTTGTAGAAGCATATGCTCCTGGAGATTCGGAAGAAGACTGTTGGTCAATTTCTTTAGGACTTGTAAGATGACTGTTTATACTATTATTATTGGCTCTCAAGGCTGGTGGGACGTACAGTGCTCGATGTGTTTTCTTTGTTGACATATACGTAATTAACGGGAAGATGATATCTATGAAGGTAACAAAAGAGGCACTTGTGTGGGTTAATTTTTATGTATTCCAAAATAAGAGTTTATAAAACAAAATTAGTTTTAGCTTTTAGCAATTTTGTTTAGTGACTACTGATCACAACACAAAATGTATGGGCTACAAAGGAAAATGCAAATAACTAAGTGAAAAGCATTTCAACTTCAGTAAAAATAGAATCCAACCCGATGAATGATTGTGTACTCAGTCATAAGCTACAGTTTATGCATTTGTACAGGTAAGAGTAGACCAAGCAAGATATGAACCAGAAAAGGTTGCTTGAAAGTTACATGCGTGAGCCAATTCTATAATCACAGACTTAAATTACGAGTCTACAGTAAGAAATGGGTAAGGGATTGTGACTGGAGCTCGTAATTTGAAAACCAAAAGACAAAAAAGCTCGAACCAGGTATCATTGCGAAAAGTTGAAGTTTTTATTTCAAACACGCTGAGATAAATACAAATATAACTTATAAAGGTCTTCTGTTCAACAGACTGATATATTAGTACTACCCCTTTGATAACACTGCCTTCACGAAGCCGTTGACAGAAGGATACCTCAATTACAGGGATGCAACAAATTTTAAGATCCGCTCATGACTGGAAAACAGAATGGACGGTAGAACGATGCAGGAATAAATCTACAACAGTAACGCGTTAAAATTCAAATTGCAACACTTCGAAAAAGCACATCGCAAGAGTGCTAAGACATTTCAGTGATAATAATAATAATCATGGAGGCGAAAGGGACAAAATACACACAACACGAAGGGCGAATCATCACAAAGTGCTGAGACTTCTATTACTTGGAAAGTATAAGGTGTTACTAAAAGGGTTGGAGATACACTATCTAATGTATTCAACAAGTAACTTCGTACCGTTAGTCTCAGTGAGATACAGATTTATCTACGCATCTTCAACTAACAGTCAGTGGCTTTGAGAATCATTGTACTTTAACGTCTTGGTTAAGTGAACTAGCCATTTTCGAAGTCACTCATGCGTCTTCATGCATGACATAAAACGCAGGTGATACTGCTGTTTGGAAAATGAGGCTATAAAAGATAAGTAAGCCGTTGTTCTTCATGTAAACAAATTGTTACAACGACCTAACTGTCTTCTCAAATCAGAAATACTTCTGCAGGAGATTCGTAGTCTTCTGGACCGTCCAACTACCATAGGTTTTAGCTCTCTTCGGAGATCATTCACCAAGAAACATCCTTCTTGGTCTATACATACGCATTCAGAGTATTCCGTTAAAGTTCCTGATAAAGTGAGAAAAACCGAGTACTAAGTTCCTGGCGGCAAGCTATCTACTATATGCTTCTTTCTCTTTGTCCTTTATCCTTATTATTTGTCCCTTGGGTTCCTAGTGAAATATAGGGCTTAAGTTGCACGTCTCCATTGCACCCTCTCCTCTGTAGTCTTTCGAACCTGGCTCAACGACTGCCCACAAGCTTTCATTTCTTCTTCACACCATCTCCATGTCACCCTCACCTCCGACACCCAACTCATAGTTTCCCCTTTGAATTCCACTCGACGGCCTGGCCTGGCACGTAATGTCTCCGAACGTCTTTCTCAGTGTATGCTCAATCCATCTCCACTTTACTCTCCTGCATATTTGTTGGGCGATAGCTTCTTCGTTGGTTCGCTCCCGGAGTTCCTTGTTACCTATTCTTTCTGGACACCTGATCTTCAGTATCGAGTGCAGACGGCAGCTGTTGATGAATGTCTGTAGTTTGTTGCAAATGCTTTTCTTGAAGCACCAAGTTTCTGAACCATATAGCAGCACTGACTTCGCATTGGTGTTCAAAATGCGGATCTCGTTCACGCTTTATGCTGAGTGCAATGCAGTAGATCTTCACACTGATTTCAAATTAATGAAGTCCTGTCATGCTTTTCCGATGCTGGCTTTGACGTCCTCATCTTTGCCGCCTGTGGTTGAAATGATGCTGCCTCGCCTAGGTAGGTGGAAGAGGATACTTCCTTCATGTTTCTCCCCTTCATGTTGATTGATGCTTGTTGTTGTTGTTGTTGGTTGGGTATCTTCATCACCTCTGTCTTCTCTACATTCATTTGAAGTCCCGTCTTCGCTGCCCTGCCCCGACTCTCCTGTCAACTTGTTGAATTTCACCTGTAGATCTTCGAGTTTGTGCAATATTAAAGATAAATCATCATTGGTGGCGAAATCCAAATCTCCTAGGGTCTTTTCATCGGTCCAACTAGCGTATGCCCGTCTTCTCGTTCGTCACGGTTCGCTGCATGATCCAGTCGACCACAATCAGGGAGATCATCGGTGATAGTAGGCGGTAACCTTGTCTTACTCCTTCCTTTCTTCACTTCAAAGGTGTCACTCAGCTGCTTTCATTGTGGATCACATGACATGTGGCATCTTCATACAGTTGTTGAATGAGATTGATAAAGGTTTGTGGTACTCCGTGATGTTGAAGCGCCTGCCAAATTACTTCTCGGTCGACGCTGTTGAAGACCTTTTCAAAGTCGATGAAGAAGTTGAGGTGAGGTAGAGAGTTGACTGTCATTCTATGCTCTGTTCTATGATGATGTGTAGCGTAGCGTTGCAATTTGATCCACACATGATTTGTACTTCCTGAATCCAGCCTGTTCCGGTCGCAATTTTGAATCCAACGCATTGTTTAGTCTCTCCAGTATGATGCGGTATAATATTTTGCTTGGAGTGGACAGGAGTGGGGTATGATTCCGCGCCAGTTCTTGCAAAGACTTAGGTCACTTAGGTTCTTTGGAAGTTTGACAAGGTAGTCCATCTTCCAATCAACTGGCCGGTATCTTTCCTCTCTTCCTTCCCTTCCTCCTGTAATAGTGATGTGAGAATGTCCGCTGTTGTCTCTGCGTCTGTTTTCAGTGCTTCTAGTGGGATTCCATCTGGTCCCGCTGCTTTCCCGGATTTCAGCGACTTTATGGCGTTCGGGACTTCGACTTTTGTTGGAGGGCTTGCGTTCACTGGTAGTTCTGTGGCTGCAGGTGATATTTCTGGACGAGTTGCAGGAGGTGGTGGTGGTCGGTTCATGAGTTTTTTGAAGTGATCATCCCATCGTCTCCTTCCTTTCTCCTCTTTGATAACTAGGTTTCCTTCACTATCTCCCTTATGTTATTTATATGTTCGCGCCACTTAACCATAACGGTGCAGAAAACTAGGTCACAAGCTGTACTTCGTATAATGGGGTCGACAGATGAAGATAAACTAGCTTGTGCAGAGAAGATAAGCGCAACAATGCCCACAGCATCCAGGATCCTTGTATTACTGTCACGCCAGACGCAGCATTTACCAACACCGGTAAACTCGTGTAGTCAGAATGACAATTATCCGTCTACAAACATCCCGTTGGTCAAAAACAAAAGACGGGGAAAATGTATATGTTGACAAACGAGTATACCGACACACTATAGCTGGTCTTAACTATTCAGTCATCAACAAACAGCGAACCTCTGACGGCTGTGTTAGCAGTGTATAAGTGTCGGAGGTTCAAGAACTCTTTGCGTACAAAATTTGTCTAAATTGGAACACTATATCTGTGATAAGGGCATACCGAGTCGGTTTTACAGCTTCATGAGGAAGCACCCATGGAACTGGAGATGGTATACACGTCCAGAATGTCAGAAATTACCTGCTATTATCACCGGCAAACTAAAGAACTTGGTACAACCCAAGATGTTACAAAACACAATCCCCCCCCCCAAATTCTACCAGCAGAAACTGGGCAAGCTCCATAAGCGCACAAAGCTGTCATCCCTAGGCATAGGAAACTACCAGCTCCCACTCCAAGTGAGGTATCAACGAAATCTTCACTTCCTGTATCAATGCAACCCAGATGATCCAACGGGGTTGAACAAACTGAACAAGTAGGTTATATAGAGAACAAATGGATGGAAGTATATACGAGAAAAGGTAGGCCAAAAACATTGGCTACAAAACCCAATACCCTGCATCCACAGGACAAGAAAACGGATTGTATCATTTTATTCGATGTCCCCACAATAACAGACTAACTCTTAGAAAAAGAAGAGCAACGTGAAAAGGATAAATTACATGAAAACTACAAGAAGCTAGGAACAGAACCTATTGCAGTTGGCTTATGCCAGCTCTCCCGAGGAAGTAGAGCACCCCAATATAAGCCACCACCTCTCAGGCTGTCGTCGATGACAGCGAAACAGTCGGAGGACATACTACTGCTGTCTCGCTGACCAGACATCGCAGGCTCCTGTGTCATAAAGGTGAAGCCGGATAAACCATGGGTCATCCAAGAGGCGGAGAGAAAGTTCGCACTTAGTGATCTGCACAAAGCCCCAACCATGGTGATGCATAGAACACCGGAACTGGTGGGTGAATCAATAAAATCTGATTATTACCTCCATGGTGTGCAGCAGTGGAGATAGCAGGCTGCAAAAATGGGACTAGAAAATTTGCCTGCCAGTAGCGTAACTAGATTATCAAGACCTACTCACCTGCAGGGTATCTCTTCACCAACGCTACTGGCTGTACGCTTCGACTCCAAGGAATCACTCACGGAAACTCTAACAGCATGGTACCTTATAAAAGGAAAACTTGAAGGTGATATACGATGCCGTAAAAGTAAACCACAGTTGGCTAGGCTGGAAGACGTAAGGCAACCTCCAAGAACACTACAGACAGTACTAGTCACAAAAGAACTATCCAGTGAACTTATGTTAGCCCAGTAGGAACTGGTAGTCAGAATCCAATGCAATTGCACGTTGGCCTCCACAAGTTCCCAGAAGGTAGCTTTTTGACGTGCTTTTACAGTCATGTAAGGGGTTTTAGAAATAAACTACTACTGGAGCTAAAACCCATACGCTATAATCTGTATGCAGACATAATTTTCATTACAGAGACGCTTCTCATCAGACATTGTGGACCAGGAAATATCATTGTCTAACATGGCCTTGTTCCGAAAGGACAGGGAGTTCAAAGGCGGAGGAGTGGCCACATACATTAGCATGCACCTAAAAGTCAAGAAGGAGATTGATAATGTGCTTAGCCAAGTACCAAATTCTTGCTATTATTTCGCCATAAACTAAACAAAGTACCTATTAGGAAAGGTATGCAGACCTCTTCCGTGTACAACAGAGCACAAAACACAATTGCTGAACACTATTTCCACATCCACCTCGGTAACTTATGACCACGTACGTAGTCCTCGCTGGAGACTTCAACGCATCGGCACTTAACCCGGGATGTGAAGTAAGCTGTGGACACCAATCTTTTGAACATAGAATTCGTAACACATTTATGGCAGTAGGATTAATACAGGAAGTTGGGGAAACATCTGATAAGGACCAGATGGAAAAGGATCACGACTTGTCTACGTTCTAACAGACGATTATCTTTTGGTGGGCGACATAAGTGTCCAATTCCACCCCCAAGCAAAAGCGACTACTTTTTGGTGAGATTTTCGTTGATAACCAAGGAGAAACTATCAATAGTTGAATCACAAGCGTTCCGCTGCTGCCGAAAGGCAGATTACTACCTCATGAACAATGAACTCTTGGACGCTCGATGGCCACAAAAATGGCACTCATTATTGACAGATGTACATAGGATACATATCAAAGATATTATCTGCAGCGCTATCAAAAAGTCCCAAAATTAACTATACGAGCACCTTACAAACTGTCTTGGGTTACTCGCACAGCCCAAAGGCAAATAGTGAGGCAAAATAAGGCATGGTGTTGATGGCGTACATCGGCAAAACCAAAACCGACGAATAAAGGTTTAAACCTGATCACTGGACCGAGCGGAGAACCCTTGAATAGCAGTGAGATAGCGGAACTGCTGAGCAGCTGATTTGACGAGCAGCTCAACACAGAGTTCACCAACCAACATCCAGTAATGTAACGAAGGTCAGCGACTGCGCTACAAAGCTGATAAACGTAAAGATCTTGTCAAACCAAGTGTTTGCGAAACTTTCAACACTTGAAATAGGGGAATCTTCGGGCTGTGACGACATAAGACCAGCGGTCGTACGGAATTGTGCTGAAGTGCCAAGTATGTCCATTCGTTAGAAGTAAGCCAACTCCCCAAAGAATGGAAACGTGCTATACTTTCACCAATCTCCAAGGGAGAACGAAACCTTCCCATATTATCCGAGGTACTGGAAAGGATTGTTGCAGATGTTTGCGACTACCTAAACGGAAACAATATCGTTCATCCCACCCAGCGTGGCTTCAGAACCCGACGGTCAGATGCCATAAGCTTAATGACCGCTTAGGACGACTGGACCACCGGCTGAGACAGTAAGCATCCAGTTTACCTTATCTTCCTGGACTTGGCCAAAGCTTTCGAAAGCGTCCCAAACTACACCGTGGTCGCTAAGCTTGGAAAAGTGGGTATCACTGAACCATTCAGCATGGTCTACAGTATACACAGAGGACAGAGAATTCTGTACTAAAGTAAACAGAATTCGATCAGCCTGGAGAAATGCAAGAACAGGAGTTTCTTAAGCAGCGCTCGTCGGGTCACTCCTATTTTTACTATTCATCAATGACCTTAACGATCACATCACCTCGTCTATCCTTCTATTTGTCAACGACATCAAAATATGGCGGAAAATAGGTAGGGAAGGCGATCCAGATATTCCAAGACGATATGCTGCAGCTGGAGTCCTGGTTACCTGCAAACGGTTTAAGCTCCGACCTGGGGAAATGCAAGGTGATGTATCTTTTGCACACTGGAAGAGATGAAAACCAACTACAACCTCAACAAGGGCGCAATCACTAAGGTATCTAGAAGGAATGACCTAGGACTAAACTTCTCTGATATATTGGATACTAGTGCCAACTATGAAGGAATGGCAGCAAAGGGGAACGCCATCAGGCAATTTCTAGGAAGGCAGCTCATAGCGCTAACCTCGGAACTATTCCTCATGGTATTTGAAACCTATGTTGGACCACACAGGTATTCAACACGATAGACCCTCCACTACTAACGACAGGAGTACTTTCGAGGAGGTACAGAGGGAGATAAGGTCGGTTGTCAGACTAACAGGCAAAACATGTGCACAACACCTTAGATAACTCAACTTATTCACATTAAGCTATCGAAGAAAAAGAGGCGACCTAGTAACAGTCAACAAGATCATCCACCGAGTGGATTACCCAAATAGGTTAACATTATCGGCCCAAAACCGAGTCTCGCGAGAATCCTACTCACGTACCCCACCATAGGACAAAGGCAAGCGTGAGATCAAACTCCTTCCCACCCAGAGTATGTGCCTTATGGGAGGTTCTGCAGAAAAAAGGAGCCACAGCTACACCAGTTGACTCCTCCAAACGACTACTGGATAACTACGCGAATGCAAACAGTTTACAACGAATAATTGCCGGTAGCAACCGAAGATGTGCTCGTCCACCCTGTAGTATATGCAAAAAGACGTATCCTTTCTGCATATTATTACCAGTAACATTTTTCAGTAAGGACTTTTCACTCCTTTTTCTCACTCCTTACAGGCCCTACTTCTTGCGTCGCCTTTTGAGTAACGCTTATTACTTACTTGCAGATGCTTACAAAAACAGGAATTGTAAAAGGTTAATTGATCTTATCAGTAGCTTCGTTGCTCCCCTAAACAAACCAAGCGACGATTTGCAAGAAAAAACACCTTTGAATAAACAGTCATCAAACCAAAGCTATAAGCAGGAGAAACATAAAAACTTCTGCGAATACCGAAGGATTGTAACTGAACAATAAGAAGATAGAGCTCAAAAATTACAAGTCTATACTACTCGCACTGTTGCTGTCCTACAAAATACAATGACGATTTTGACGCAGTAATCAAACGGCAAAATACTTATTTGCTAACACTACAACACGTATACATAAAAAGTACCACAAATATTTTTGTGGTATTTCGACATGACAACATTACTATCGACTTACTGCGCTTATACTTACTTAAACTGATTTGAAAAGTCTATCACTTATCTGACATATGCATTATGTTAACTTGCATTTTCTTTAGTAACAGCCTACTGGGGCTTGGCTACGGCGAAATTATAATACAAAACGACCTATCATCCCATACAACACCTTCAGTAGCGCCTATTGAGAACATGGCGCGCCAAATTCTTAGCATTACAACGTCCGACATCACTTATCCACAGTGCAAGCACAGCAGTTTAATTCTTGGGGCTGATTTTTCGTTGTCAGGTTCTATCCCTGTATTTGGCAGGGGAGTATCTTATGTTTCTCTAAATGCTATTGAAGTGAGACTTACTATATTTTTGAGATGAATGGGGATTTTTAATTTAGAAGTAGTGTTCATCATGGACTGACATTAGTTGGGGAACCATTGAAAGTCTGGGAGCACTGGACAGCTGTGAAGCCCGAATGTCCTGAGTTCGACCCCTAGCTGGGTCGTGGGTGAGTATTACTGAGGAGTCCCATACTATAACGAGACAGCTGTCCAATGCTCCCAGATTTTTAATGGTTCCCCAACTTATGTCAGTCCGTGATGCATACTACTTCTCTTTACTATATTTTTGTAGTTGCCATGTTCAGTTTCAGTTCAGTTTTCGGTTATGAGTATAGTGGGCCAGTTGGCCTGTGTTAATCCTTGCAGAGGTTAACTCTGTGAAGATCTGGTTTCTCCTTGAACGCGTTGACAGAAGGTGCTGATACTATTTGCTGAAGTAAGGAGTTTCGGGCGTTGACAACAAGATGGGGGAAACGCAGATTCACACTAGGTTGATTCGATCATGGTTTTGGAATTTTCTTGTGATGCCGCAGGAGACGTTCAGTCCTAGCGGGAGTGAAAAGATAGGACATATCAGTACCGAAGTCACCACTAAGAATACGAAATGCTGGTGTGAGATCGCCCCGTCTCCTACGGTAAGACATTGGGAATAAGTTTAGCTGATCTAGTTGTTCCTCATAGGACAGATTAGAAAGGCCTGTCACAGGCTTATTACCAGCCTTCTGAACACGCCTGAGTGCGTCAGCATGCTTTTTAGGCATGCGCTGACCGCCTGAATGTAGTATTCCAAGTGAGATCTAACGTAAGTAGAATAGAGTATTCTGAACATGTCCTGACCAAAACATTTGAAAGCTCTGCGAAAGGACCATTTTACGTGGAAGCCCTTCGCTGCAGCTGCATTAAAGCTTGAGCAGGTTTTCAGATCGTGACTAATTATGGCACTGAAGTCTTTTGGTTCAAAGGCTGGGAGTATTGGTTTAGGATTGTCCTGGTGCGAACTTGACGGAGACAAAGACCAATCATGTAGCCTGTGCTATATGAAATACATACATATTATCATATCATAATTATTCGGACTTGCTATATACCCAAGAACACGAGACCAAAGAAGAACGCGATAGCACAGTTGGATGGAATAGTATATTTGGGTGGTTGTGCCAAAATACCGATACGTTCCAACTAACTGGCTAGAGAGTCGAATACAAGCAGTGCAACGTAACACGACAGCGTGACAGATGGTGAGGATGCTTGACCGGGTGCCTTCAGCTTAGCGAGTCCAGTTAAACTATCAGGGTCAGCATCAATGTTGAATGTCGGCGAACCCTAGGCTGTTGATTTTGGGGAAGTATGTGACGCTACAGTGGTGTACCATCAAGGGGATGCTGGGAACAATTGTTATGACCAATGTGCATTGTTGCACTTTTATCAGAATTGGTTTCCAGGCATCAACTTCTAGACCAACCTACTAGTTCATCTAAATATGTTTGAAGTGCATACCTATCTGTATCACTGCATAAGGCTCTCCAAATCTTTGCATCATCAGCAAATAACGGCAACGAAGAGCTGAGCATTTTTGGCAGCTCGTTGATATGTGACAAGAAAAGTAGTGGACCTGGGATTGTTCCTTGAGGAACTCCATTCATCACAGGTTTCCACCCAGATATTACCCCATTTACCCTTACTCTTTGCCTTCTATCGTACAATAAGTCTCTAATCCAGGCTTGCAATGAGGCACCAAACCCGAAGGAGGAGAACTTTCCCAGTGATTTCAAATGCTACAGTTTGTCGAATGCCTTACTGAAGCCCATAAACATGGTATCTGTTGGCAGCTTCCAGTCACGGGCTGCAACCCATTCCCCTCTTGTGATAAGGAGGTCGGTTAGACAGGAGTGCCCAGTACGAAGGCCGTGTTGCTGTGGTGCCAAAAGATTGGTTGATTCCACATGTTTAAGTACTCTGTCACGAATTATTTTTTCTAAAATCTTAACGACTAGCTATTTAGACTCATAGAGCGATAGTGGGACACCAAATGGCGACAGTCAGTCCTAAAAACCGGGCTGATCATGTCACCTTTCCAGTCTCTGCGGAGGCGAGTCTGAGTTAGGGACATACTGGAAAGATCTGTGACTGGCTTAGCAATGGTGTCTGCTGTCGGAGATAGAAGTCTGGGATGTAACTCATCTGGACCCGGGGATTTTCCAGGTTTAAGGTGGATGAGCAACTGTGAGACTCTTTCCTTTGTTGTGAACACTGTATCTGTTAGTTTAACAGAGCTGACACCACTATTTAGCACTCCATCGTCATGATATACATGGTAGACTTCCCTGAAGTAATCCGATGGACGTTCGGCTTTGGACAGATTAGATTTCACCAGACTATCGGACTTCTCATACGTCGCCAGGGAGGAAATTCCATCTTTTCTTTTGGTCCTCCTTCTGATGAATGCGAACAGTCTTTTAGGACAATTTTGGCAATCCCTCACAAGTCGCTTCCCGTAGGACATTCGAGACCGTGTGGCTAAAGTTTTGCAGGGATCACGGAAGTTACAGTACTTAGTCTTAAATGTTTCCGGTCTAGTTTCAAGAAACAAGTCCAATAAACGTTTTCTCCACCTTAATAGTCTATTAATGTCTTTATTAAACCGCGGAGGGCGATATGAGAATCGTCATGTGGTCGAACATGAAATAAGTGGCGTTGTTGCCCCTCAAAATAGAGTTCTAAACCTATTCCATGCATTCCCAATTGATGAGTCCAATCCTTACTGACTGCTCAATCCCCTGTACCTGAAATGTCCGCGCGCCATACATCAGGTCTAAAGAGGAAGTGTCATGACCAAACTCATCAGTCCGAAAACCAAAGGTTAGTACTACATGGTGGCTGTTAGCTAATGGAGGGAAGTGTCGTAGGTCCGTAATGTCCCCACATTGATGGGTTAAAACTAAATCCAATAACGATGGCTTGTGTTCAAAACCGCAACGTGTTGTACATATTACGTTTTGAACTAAAGCAGACTCTAGGAGAGTCAGCAGTAGGTCATTTTCGAAGGAACCACCCAATGGTGAGACTGTTAACTCCCTCTATCTTATGTTTGAAGCATTCAGATCCCCAATTACTAGGTATCTGTTACTTCTACTCTAGTTACGTGCATGGGTTTGCACGAAGTTATTTGCAAGGCAGGATGGACTACGGCAAATGACCCCGATAGTACAGAAACCTTGCTTTGACTCCAGCTCTCAACTGGCCACTTCACGGGTCCCGCATTCAAGTGCTTCAGAAGTGACTAATCGTACGTGGACGTCATCCCAAACATGCCGCCACCTTCGCAACCCACATCCGTATCCGTAATACCCTGATAGAAGTGGCGTAACATCCAAATCCTTGATTAACCAGGTTTTAGTAAGGACTACTATGTCAGGACCTAGTTTACATATCAAAGCCTCGGGTCCGTCATTATGCTTCTAGTACTGCGAAGCATTCGCTTCCAAGACCTTACAACCCAAAAACCCACTATTTTAGGATCGTTTTCTCCATTAGCTTGTCGAGCCTTAAGTTCGGCAACATCTCTTCTTTTTATGCTGTCCTCAAGGGCCAGTCAGGTCGGTTGTGGATATCCGAGTTTCGAAGTTTGGATGCTTTACTCAAGAGTACATCCACTTCATCGTTGATGCCTAAAACAACCTTTGAAATTCTCTTTTCATCAGGTTTTGCGTCCGTTTTCCTACCTGGCGTAACCACTTTGGAGATGTGTACTCCTTTATACTTTTCAGGCAGAATACGTCTGATGGCCGACTCGACTAGTTAAGGGTCATGGCAGTGACATATTGAAGCATCTTTGTCCGACGACTCCTCAACATTCCAGAAAAGTAAACTGGGCTTTGGAGTGGAATCGTTGAGCCGTGTGTTGATGGCCTTCAGAACCTTCTCAAATAGGTTTAGGCTTGGTTTCTTCTGTGATAACCTTTGGCAGTTTCTTCGGATGCTTTCCTGGAGAAATTCGTATGGATTCGTTGACCACGTTTACAGAGTCAACGCTGTTAACAGAGATTCAGGCTTTCGATGAATCCTCAGGCATTATGGCTGGTGTACCATTTGCCTTTGGCTATCTCTTGCGTCGAGTACACCCCGGAGCTGGTGTAATTTCGCCAACTGAATCACCAGCATCCATTAGTCCACTGAGAGGTCATGTGTTAGATATATTAACGATTACACTTGCAGCGTCGTCACCTGATACCGCATTTTTTCCACATATCTATTTTTGACAAGTGAATTTTCAACGGCTTGCTGGATGAGGGTCGGCAACGGCTTGCATCAGAAATCACACAACCGGAGAGAGGCTGGTTTGCCACAACGCTTGTACACATTTAGCGTCAATCCAGTACAGACTTTGTGGAACCAACATCCACATGCATCACAATGCATGCCTTCATCTACTGAAAATTTACGGCTGGAACGACTGCAAACATGATTATCTCTGGCCGTGTTATTCACTAGTGCTGCGTACTAACTGAAGAACTCGGTCAAAATTTCGACAAAGGGACCTGGGTTGTGACAACACAAAGACCAACCTTAAGCCCCAAAAAATGATTAGACCTCAAACACTGACTCAAGTACTTCAAGTTAAGGTTTATAAGAAAGCTCTTTGTGTAGATTACACAACGAAAGCAAAAATGTCGAAAGTGTGGAAGAATTCACCTCCTGTTTTCAAAGCGCGCGAGTAGCGTACATTGTTCAAATGTTCAAATGATTACCGACGGAATAGAAGCTTTTGCTTAACTTACTCCCGGTTCTTGAGTTCGCCAACTGCCGTTTACTGTGGACTTGAGTGTTTGTATTTTTAAAAGGATGTGGGTAAAATGTGACGGATAAAATCTGAAAATTCGATTGGCTCTATCAGGATCCAATCCACGCCTGAAGTATGAAGCCGGTGTTTAAACGATCAGGATGGAGAAGTCTGGATCGTTTCTTAAGTAAGAGAATTTCAGGGCTTGACTCAAAGGAGGAAGAAGTTGGTTTGCACACGGGCTTGTCGGAGGATCATGGTTTTTTTGTCTGCCATACACACAAGTTTCTGAAAACGTGTAACACAGTAGCGGTAAAAATACGCATGGCATCTCGGCAATTTTATCGATCGGATAAAAGCGAGTGAAAAGAAGGTGTTAAAGAGTCAGTGAAGAGCTAGGCACTCTTTGTTGGCCAGTTTTTCGGTCAGTATTGTCCTGCTTATATTACTGTTACCAGCCCATCAAAACAACTTATGTAGCTGTCCGAACTAACTTTAAATTATTCTCCTGAGCGAGTTGTAACTGCTTCTCACAGTTAGAAGCTGCATAAAGTGAATGCTCTCAAGATTTAGATTTTAGTTTGAAAATCGAAGGTTGTGAGTCTGTATTACTCATTTACGGTAGATATCTGAGAAAGTCTAGCCCTACCCAGAGTGAGTTAGCTGATGATACGGACATTACTTCTGGCAGTCGGCACCAAATGATGATTACTGGAGGCAAAAAGAGGCACTGCATGCTTTTGCCAAGTTTTCCAACGTGTTCCGACTTGATGGGAGGGGGGGGGGGAAAGACAAATCAGGTCCCAAGTCATTTCTCAAAATCCTGCATAGCATGATTCCATCTCCACTGTTTATCCCACGGAATAAAGAGAGAAGGTTTGGGTTTGAGATTCCATCTCCACAGTTCCGTTTGCCATCCCATGGATCTTCTGAACTCTTTTCAGAATGTCTTAGTAGCCTCCGGTACACAGATCCACCAGTTATGCTCAATGTTCGCAGTTTAGACCTAATTAACGGCTCAAGATCTTACCTAGTGACACTGAAGTCCTTTTCTAACTTCCAAGAAGAGAGTTAGGAGTTGTTCCTCACTCTCTGTCCCCCATCAACAAGAAACCTTGTTGAATACGTTACTGATGTTTCTGAAAATGATATCTATGGGTACCCTAATAGCCTTGAATATAACCGGACTTTCTCTTAATACGGGAAGGCCTGTCAAGTAAAAGAAGCTGTTGCAAAAGCGATGTTTTGAAAGAGATGATGGAGCACTGCTTTCTGCTTGAATAGTAATGACTTCCTTCTAGTCATATGGAAGTTTTGCGTTGCTCGCGGACAACCTAAATACAATGTAGAACTCCCGGGGACGATCAAACTGTCTGGCTGGATAGTACCTCACGTCAGCTGTCCGCTACCAGTAAATCAGTCTAGAATAAGTTTCCGGAAACGCCGTGATACAAATGGAGAAATAACATAGTGATAACTTTACAGGCAATAAGCCTTAGGTAGAATCCATTCATTTGCGCGTACTGAGAGGGTATTTTTCTTACTTTTTTATGATAATATTCACTGTTATTTGTTGCCGTGGGACAAAAATTTGTTGGCGGGAGAGCTTAAGGGCAAGCGGCCATTTTAGAGATGTGGCATGTCAGTACCATCCCTTAAGGTGCATTCAGCCTTTTGACACTGAATAAGTTGCTAGCAAACAAAGGCGAAGAATACACTGTAGATTGCTGCCAGACGAACGGTGACTAACGGAATAGAAGCTTCCTCTCAGCTAACTTCCACATTTGGAATCCGTGGATCACTAGTTTCTGTCGATGTTAATCTTCTGCGGTTCACGAAAGAGTAGAATGTCGCGGTTAAAATCCGAAACTGCGGTTGGTTTTGAGCATATCCCACCAGCATCATAAAAAAGTAAAAAGCCAGCGTCCAAAAGAAATAATATGAAGTGAAGTAGGTCGCTTCTGCAGAAGGAGGATTCAAGAGCCCAGAGGATGGCAGAAAACAGTTGTGTCTGATATCTAACTTGCTACGTTCTATGCTTGATTTTTGCACGTGACCTCTTAGAATGGTTCTGCAACTACCTTAAGATAAGTGATGAACTGTGTGTTCAGGGAAGTTTGAGTTGCTGCTGGCGATTTTCAGGTCCCCTTCTAGTTTCCTATATCCCACAAGCACCTTGGGTTTGTTTGGTACCATCATGTCACTAGGTATATATCATTTTAGGATGGCGATCCTTGTCGTAAGAGAAACATTTAACGAATTCTATGCCATTAGTTAAAAACAGTATGAAGGCAAAAATTTCTTTTCAATATATCTTTATCAAGTTCTACATCCGGTGATAAAATAGAATTGTTCAGCTTAAACTAAGGCCAAGTTTGAGGCAATTACATTTTCAGAATGGAATAAGAGTTCAAAGCTGTAAATAAATCACTTTTATCTCGAAATTTGCCGGTGTTAGGAAGAATTATACACAGATAGATGTGATAGTAAAACAGAAGACGATAAATGAGGAAAATGGGACTTACCTATAGTTCACTGAAGTCCCAGAGTGGAATGACGTTTAAAAACACTTCTTCTGAATAAAAAGTTCAGATTTAGTCAGTCTAATTGCAACAGTCTCAGCTGTGTTGAGCAGGCGTTTGCAAAGCACACGTATACAATTGTTTTTGGAAGACGGTCAATGGCACTGTAGGCTGCGTCAACATCCATATGGTGCCCTGTGTTTACTAGGTACTATAAGAAAGGAATCTTCACCACTTCCACATCACCTTTTCCATACGAAGTCGGGAAATGTTCTGTTAACTGGAGACGCACCTGTCTAGTCGTACCTGCCTACGTAAATTGGTCCGCTGGAGCTGTTAAACTGATATACACAAGATGAAAAGGCAGGATTGGGAAAACTATCTTTTAGTCGCAGACTGAGTATTGGCCGAATGTTGAAAAGTTTGCAAAGACGACCTGAATAAAGCATTCCAATTACCGCTGCGGAGAGATGTTCTGATAGGACGTCACTTCTAACACCCAGCTTCATTTGTAGACCCAGGAACAAAGCCATCTTATACACCCTCATCAAACCATTTTTAAGGTTACCATGGACGGTGACTCGGAAACGACTGAAGATCATTAGGAAGACACTAAAGCATATTCATATCCCCTGGGCATACACATTTAAGACACCCTCAGTAACATGTCGTTTTGACAAGTAAGATATACGTCCACAGTCCACGTGATAGAATGTAGTGAATTGCAGTAGTCGTATGACACAGCGCATAAAATTTCTGCTCCATGTTAACCCCTTAGAAAGCGAAGTGTAATTTTGAGTGTTATCGTTAAGACAAACAGAGGCAACGTCATGCCTGATAGTACTTCTAGTGTGAATACTGGGTACGAAATAGCGCCGGAACTGCAAATCGGTAGGAACTTGCCTACTATTTACCTGTCATCATACAGTAAACTAAGAAGCAAATTATAAGACCGTAGCATTACTCCATATTCTCAAGGTAACCAAATTGTTTGCAGAAAATCAAACCAAGAATTCAAACAAAATCACTGTGGAAACACTTGCAAAGTACTTCCTTTCCCTATGGCTCTAGGAATAAACCATTTACTGGCCTTCAGTACTGTATGCATCATTCTTCTTCTTAGTAACTTACAAGAATATCTGTCATGATTTTAGGAGTGATTTTGTTGAGTAGGGTTCCTGAATTTTAATTGTAACGCATTCGAAATCTTACCCATCCTCCTTCCAGTTTCTATTCTTGGACTGCCTCACCTCTTTGTTGTCCAACCCAGTTTTGGTTGGCCGGGCACTGATAGAAGGATAAAATACTTTATCTTTAAAAGTCGTCTTTTTTTAGATCTATGACAACATTGTATCAGTGACACGGTGTCGATTGGTAGGAAGCATCGACCCACACCCGTTAGATAGCTAGGGTTCTTCCAGGATAACTAGCCTTTGTCGTTCATGCTGAAGTCAGAGAGTTTACCTCTAAGCTATTCGCACTACGACTAAAATCTCTCTTAGTTCGAATTATGTAGATTAGTAAGTTATCAGTGGTTAGTTGATAGAGCCATATTAGTACCATGGGTAGTGGTAGTTGTACTAAAAAAGTGATCATTGCTGTTTCTATTTGAAGTGTAGTCGATTGGAACACAAGGCTTTTGTTTAGGGAGCGTAGATGAGTTATCTCAACTAAGAATTGGGTTACAAACATGTTTATAAGGTTCACAGGTACATTCGTTTTTCATTGTTTATGATACTACTGTAATGTTATGTGAAGAAGATGAGAAACAGATCTAATTTGATTGCTTAATAGCTAAAAAAGGAAGATTTTATCTGTCTTTCTGTCTGAAAGTAGACTAAATTATCGAAAAACACGTCTGCACAACACGAAGTAGGATAGATATTGCAACTACAATAATCTTAAACAACTCAACTTCCTACGAACAATGCAAGAACAAAGATGTTTGCAGAATAAAATGAGCTCATTTTATTTCATGGCCACTCATTAGCTGAATACAGACTACAATTGAAACAAAGCTTTAGTAATAATAATGGCATGCCATACTGTAAATAAATGGAGATTTGAAATCCAGGATTAACAATGGGATAGTGAGTCAAGGAAACACCATTAATAGTTACAAATCTTACTCAAGTCAATGACAGTTTACATCTGATGAGATGGAAAATTATGGAGCTGTGGAGTAGGAGGACGACAAACGAAAATCAGGGTAAAGGAAGGGACCGTTTAAGAACTAATAGGTTACGTAATCACATGAAAAACTTGAAAATCGTCGAGCAACTAACAGTCAGTATGTTTTTAATGAAGAGATGACGCAACCAAAAGAAAAGGAAAGACTATATACATACACATGCGAAAAAGGAAATTATATACAGCTACCAAGATGAAGAAGGGTAAATTACAGTCTCCTTCTGAGTACATAGGTCAGGTTGAAAGTAATTGATGGCGAGAGCTTCCGCAAATCGTAATAAATATGATGTTATTTGTTTGTTGATTATCGTGAAAGATTGACAAACATCTGTTTGATGTCCTTTTTCCACCAGATACCTAGTGATTGCGCTTTTAAAGACATTTCTAGCATTCAGACACAGATTTCTTCGGATATGCTCATAAAACCGAATAGACGCTCTTCTGTCAGTACGTTCTATGTACTTGCTTCCACAAGCACAGGTGAATTGATATACACAGTTGGAGGTGACGTGAAATTGGCGGTTGTCTAGCTTTGACTGTGTTATTGAGCACAATGTGTTGTAAACTGAGATCAGTCTGGCAGCAGGGAAGCTTCTTCTCAGTACAGCTTTTATTCCTCTGTCTGACACTGTTTTAATGGACATGAGTAATTCAGGCTGCTTTGTTGTTGTTGTGATTAGTACATTGATATCATCTATGTACAGTGCGAATATTTAGACCAGAACGGGTGAAAATCTTCATTCTCAGATGGTTCAAGTCATTCACTGCATTGCCTGGAGTTATCTGTATCTCCATCAGAATGCGTCACTTCACAACATACATGTTAGTCAAATAAGCAAGTCTGTTGTAGATGGTCATTATCATATGCAGGGATTCGGTTCAATAGCACGTATATGAAATGTGATAGTAATTTTAAGTGAAACAGTGTATTTCAAGGGATTTTTTTCTTTTACAAGCATTGAACATGAAATGAACTTATAAGACAGGAGCGAAAGTGACCAGAATGTGAGAAATTGCAGGAAACAGTGATGATTTTTTCTATTGGTTCTGATAATGGGAATAACTATATTAAGATGTAGTTTAGGGTTTGAGTTCAACCTGCGTTCTGACATGAAAACACAAATAATAATCTCATTGGAATAAACCACTTAACTGGAACAAGTCAGGTCAAGGAAACACAGGATTGATAGTTGCATATCTCAGTCAAAATCTATTCATTTCAACTGTAGGCTTTTTGCAGCTGATGAAATGCCATGAAATAAAATGACCTTAATTTTTCTGCAAATACCTTTGTTCTTACATCGTTCAAATTTGTCAAGAGAATTTAATTTATGACATTTTCTACAAACAGTTGTATCGTTTTAAGATACTGATCAAAGAGTGCACGGAAATCGTTTAACCGTATATATAATATTAGAAAGTCCATTACATGATTGGGAAATATTGTTTTAATTCTTGAACACCACTAACTGTAATATATTTTTCAGTTTGAAAGACACAGAAATATGTGTACCTTGACTGTCTTCGTGTTCATAAAAAATGTTATATCTGGCAATAGTAGTAAGAAACTACAGATAATTAATTTTGACGATGGAGGTATTCAAGAATTACACAGAAGTTTTCACTTCTTCATTGCTGAAAAGAATACATATAGTCTTTAAATGAAGTAAATGTAGCATTAGTTTTTAGAGGTGTTTGAATCTTATATGTAATGTGATCCCATAATAGCCATATGACGTTTTCCATATTCGAAATGTTCCCTTTCATGGTGTAGTCTGGCCAAGTGTTTAATATTTGCATCAACTGCTGCATATTCATCATCCGTAAGTTTAAATCTTGGCGGAGGTGAACCAGTAATTTGACGCTGTTTAATAAGTATATATTTTGGTGAAGAAAATACACCTTCTGGTATATATAGATCACGAAAGCTATGAGCACGTCTAATGTTGTCAGTAAAGACAAGAAATGTTACATCAGTTTGTTCAGAGAATGCTACACTTGTATTATCCAGTGGTGTCAGATCTAGACAAGGTCGACGTCGAGTTTTACATGAGTATGGAACAGCAGGTTTTCTTCCTAAAATGAAAAGTAACAAGGGATTTGAGAATAGTAGTTACATTCTAAGAATTAACATTATTCTCTTGAATCCATCAACTTTTTCTAGAAAAGATCCAAATAGGACGAAATGCGCATTCTGGATTCCACTGCTAGCCACTGCCCGTCATTACTAAACGTAGTTAAAAGACAGGCAATATCGAGGCATCCGCATAGGAGCCCATATGCCAACAGAGACTGATCAATTCGGTCCAATCAACTATGGTGTAATGCAAGCAATAACACTAAACCTATACCCGTCTCACTAGAAGTGGCTGTCGTGGCTAGGTGGTGTAGTGGATAATACTCTCGCGATTGTAAGCGACCGCTCCCAGGTCCGAGTCCCGTCGGGAACAACACACTGGAAAGCAGGTATATCCAGCTGACGAGTCCCGAATAGGACGAAGTGCGCGTCCTGGATTCCACTGCTTATCATTACTAAACATAGTTAAAATTATTACATGAAATGAAAGATTATTGTAACAAATAAAAAGTAAGTCAGATCTTAACATTGATGGAGAATATTTGTAGCTGTGGAGGATGATTTCGATGGTGTCGTGTTCTCTGAGCTGAAAGTTTTAATCGTTTTCATTCTTATTCTTGACAACATAACTCCCGTAACCGATTTCCTTCTTAAGTTTGAGTTGGTGATGGTGTTTAGAATGACAATGAATGCTTCACGAATAAGCCATCCGGCTCAGGTAAAACAATATCAAAATTAGTCAAATTCTTTAAAATTTTAAATCAGGCAACAAAAGGTAAATATAGATGAAGTTAATTATTCCACACGTTCTTAATTGCAGTAAACAGTATTCGGTGACAAAAATAAGAAAGATACTAGATTGCTTATTATTATGTATGGTTCAATAGAGCCAACTTATCTCAGCATTGTGTCATTAACCATCAGTCGACAAAATTCAGAACTGTTTAGGTTTATCAATTTGTATATGATGAAATTACTTGTTCCGGTTCCTTATTAGTTATCTTCCTGTCTTTTACAATCACTGGACATGAAAATCAAACAGTTATTTGGTTTTCACTGTAACCTACATCATAAAACCGTCTGACAGTAGTGCAATGAACATTTATGAGCAGATTCGTAGGATCTTGAGAAAAAACTAATAATCATTCTAAAGTGAATTTGAGATGGTCGTGGTTCGACAGACTTGTATCATCCATACTGGGTAATGACTGAAGGTGAAATGAAAATCTGGGCTGCAGCAGGATTGAAACCACCAACCTCTGGGCTAGTGGACCGGTGGTCTCCCAACTGAGGTAAGAGGCCTAACTTCTGACGAGATCACCGAGCCGGTAATTCGGATTATAATGTGGCCAAGATTTTTTTCACATTCACTAATCACCCAGTATAAAGGCAAGTCTCCTCCTCCAAGTCTCCTTCTCTAACTCAGGTCGATTTAGATTTGAATGAGATATCTTGGTTGGAAAGTCACTGTGAATACGATGAAGAGATGTTAACATCTTACATAGCAGTCGGGACAAACCCTTGGTAATTGAGATGAAATTAAGATCTGAGCAGCAGCTGGCTCTAATAGCTAAGTTGGTAGAGCACTGAGCCGGTAACTCGAATGTCTTATAGCGGCCAAGACTTGCATTTCACCTTCAATCATTACCCAGTTTCAATAACTGTATGTTAAGATTTTGAGGTTATAATTTCGATTTAAAACATTTCATCCCTGATTAAAATTTAAAACAAGTAGCATATGTATTCATACACTTCAGTAGAACTCTTCAGCTGAATACTTGGTTATATATGCCCCGATGCAAGGCAGAGTGAAATTCACCTTTTTAATATACTGTAAATTCCTTGATTAATTTATGTTTGTTAATAGTTATTATTAACTAACTACTTTTGTTCTTACAGTGACTTTGAAGATCACCCTACCAATTACTGAGATAACCAATAACCGTCCTCTGTTTTGTAGAAAACTAACTTCCTAATCCGAATACTAAAGCCTCATTGGTTGTTTCAGCAGTTGTTACAATGACCTAAAAAATCTCTCTTGTTGTTGTCTTACTTCTGGATTCCGTACTAAATTCTTCCGTTTAATTGATACATCTGTCACTAGTATTCACTAGCTTAACAACTGTTTGAATAACGATGACTCAATTAAACCCTACTCCAAGCAGTGTTCAAGCAACTTTGAAACCCCTTCCAACCCTTTCATGAACTTAATCAACAATGCTTTATGAATGCATATGTGTATCTTACCCTATATTACATCATAGTATATATAACCTGGCTTGTAAAGTATTCAGCTAATGAGTCCTGCCGAAACTTACAGACTCATTATATTCTGATTTCCATTCATTTGTTGCTAGCTTTAAAACTGGATATTCAAGTAAAATGTATTCATCAAAATATTTAATTAGAATGATTTTTTTCCCTCTTAGCATGAAAACTAACCTGTAATATAATATTGTAATATCGAGATGATTTCATCCGCTTTTAAAACACCACTTTCAACAATATGCGTTGCAAATTCATGCGGTAATATAGTTGGAAATCTTATATAAGCAAAATTATGATTCCCTAGAGCAATACGTTGATTCATTGCTGTCATTGGTATACCAATACGTTCACATTCATTTTCAGCCCAATGCATAACTTGATCAAATAATTCAATTTCACGAATATTCAATGCATCTTGTTTTAATATTTGTACAATTATATCTTTATGCACATCTTTAAATTCTTTGCGTTTTAATACTTCAAATGTATCATTGATTATAAGTCGCATACATAAATTTCTTAATCTTGGCTGATTAAAATCAAAACTTGCTTGTAATAGTTTTAATACATGTTCAATGCAGACATTATTTTCTAGATAATTGACACATGCACGAGCTAAATCATAAAAACAATATTTTCTTGCAGCGTATAATGTTCTGATTGTTCCAACTACCCCAGTGAACACCATCTCATCGTAGTATATATACCTAAATTTCAATGTGGAAATATATGAAATTTACATAAAAAAGTTAGCTGATTAAACAATGTTTACATAGTTACATAAACTTATGCTTTATACAAATGAAAATGCAGAATATGAATCGATAGTACCTCTGTAAGCAGTCATCTTTACATCGAAACATTGAAACTCAAATCAAGCACCATCACTTCAAATGTCAAGGCGTTATCCAAGTATGAATAAATAATAATAACTGGGAGCCATCGCACAATTCGTGGCCATCGTGCCCCAGTGGTTTAGCAGATAACGCCTCGGTGTTTCAGGGGGTGGGTGGTAAGTTCCAGTCCCGGTGACTACAACATCACTCACTTGGATGCAGATACATCAAGCTGACGAGTCCTAAATAGGACGAAATGTGAGTCCTGAATTTCACTGCTAGCCACCACCGAGCAAGTTACAACATAATGGATAGTCAGGCAATATCGAAGCAGCCATACAGGAGCCCACATATCAACGGAGTTCGATCTAGAATAAAAACGGGAATTTACAAAAGTCAATAAATAACGGTCTTCTCATTCATATCACTCGTTCGACTTATCGTTCGTCAGCTGATAATTCTGTCTTTTAAGCTAAAAAGGATCGCAAGACTAGGTCTTATTTACGCATGAATAGTATTCAGTTAATTAACTCTAATAAACTTGACTTATAACTATAAATAACTGATTCACTTAAGAGAAATATTCATTTCTATGGTCAATGAGAACAAGTTGTTTCATTAGACAAGTGTGATCGACAAACGTATATTTACTGAAAGCATCAAAGGCATAATAATGCCCTAAGTATTATATCATTAAAGCTTTAAGGGTACTATTTATTTATTGAGAAAAACAGTGCGGAAATGATGTTGATTTATTGCTTTCGATATGAGAAGTAAAGCATTAGAAAACAATGTTTAGTTTTACTGAGGTATGTTAAGTAGAATGGCTCTAAAGGCCACCTTAGTAACAACTGAAATGGCCAATTACGTTAGTTTATTACCTCTGAAAAGGCAGATTCTCGTCAAATAAAGAAGTCTAATTAATTATTTCAGTTTTTGTTAGAGTAACCTTTATATTCACTCTTTAAATAGCCATACATCATTTGGCAAATAACCTACTTCAATCATTCTGCTCATGCTCTGTGTTTCATACTAAATCTAGTTTGATCAAACGAGTATATTTTAGTATGAAATACTGAACATGACTTATCGTGTATGCTTGAATGTAGGTATCATTTTACGTAGAAATATATGTAGCGCCTCAACAGTGCCTAGTTATTTACTGTACAACGGTGCATGTTACGAAGATAAGCATTATTACACATCAGTCCATAAACATTCATTTACAACACACGCTAACAGGATATTTACAATCTGATATATTCTGAATGAAAATCATTTAGGAAGGATTAGACAATTTTATATAAGCACTAAAAGTTTTCGAACAACTCAGTGTTTACTTAAGGTTGGACTCAATACGGACATCGAGGTCTGTAAGAAAAAACGACTCATGAAAAGAGTTTTAAAATATTTATTCACACTGACACAGATAAGTTTCTACAAGGTGACTAGCCATTCAGTCATAAGCTTCTGTGTAGAAAAACTCTTGCGAAGGGAAACAGTCATACTGGTATATTTGGATGTCATATCTATATTTCTTTTTAACGTAAAATTTTATAGTATTCAAGATTTTCATAGTTGAAGTTTCGTTGGATTTCTACGAAGCGGATATCACATACTGCTGCCAGTTGAATGATGGTTGAAAATAAAATGAAATTAACATTCCGATTTTGTTTTACTGAACTGATCAGAATTGCGCGGTGTTTAAATCTTTAGAATTTTTTACAACTATCATAAAAATAAATGCATAGTTCGAAAGAAATCTGCCAAATAGACCACTCATGTATATGTTTATAACACATGAACAAAATAAAAAAAACGTTTCGTATGATTGGCAGACAGTTATATATCAGTCATTCTCACGCCAACTGAAAAGTTATCAGGATATGAACTGAAAATGAAAACTGTTTAGCAGTGCTGACAGTAGAGCTTCTAACTGGTCAACCTTTCGAATCTATCCTCATTTTATATTTTATATCCATTCATCCACTTACACATATAAAACGTTTATGTAATCGCTGTGTTCATGTTTCTACAGCTGGATATGCTTAATGGTTTTCTGACCGTTACGTCAACAGGAAATTTAAAGAAATGTGACAATAGTCTATTCTATAGTTGGTAAGATGGTTAACACATTTAGTAATATTGAAAGGTTTTTCTGCTTTATTGAAGACATTTGTGTGATTATACTGAATATTATCAAAAATCAACAATCAATACTTACAAGACTGAAGTTTTGTTAATAATAGAAATGTGACATTTTCTTTTTATCCCAATCCTGTGAAATTTACTAGTCACAACAGTTATAAAATTTACTTTGACGCTTATATGGATTTTATTTATTTCAAGGTAGTGTTAATCTTGGACTGACATCATTTCAAAGAACCGTTGAAAACCAGGAAGCACTAATTCTCAACAGTGAATGACAGAATTGTGGAAATGTGAACCCTAGTCTTCTATCTAGTGGTTGAATGACTGCATTCGTCATAGGATCAGAAAGTTCTGGATTCGATCCCCATAGAGATTGTAGGTGTGTACTGCTGAGGAGTGCCATACCTGGTCGAAATGGATTTCCAGTGCTCTTGAGCTTTCAGTGGTCCTACAACTGGTCTCAATCCATTATGAATACTACCCTGAAGTTAATTTTTCTATTATTGTTCAATTTAAGTCGACTTACGATCAGATTTCTACATGACAGTCACCAAGTCTTGTTTTTACTGTTTCGTACAACTCAAAAAGCAAACCTTTGTTGTTTATTTTGGATATCAGTTTTTATTCAGCAAGAAACGTTGGAACTAAGCTTTGTGTATTCTGATACTCATCACTAGGGCATTTGTGCACCTTTAAGCAAACTCATGTTTCCTTGATGATGCGAGTCTCAATCATTCACTGGTGAAATCAGAGATGTTAGTACTTCTAAAACGTATTCTACAGTCTAGTGATTGAGAGAGCTATTCAAGCCATGATTAGGGATAGAACTGTTAAAATACTACTGAGTGAATGAATTGCTACGATACCTATTTCTGTCATCATGAAGCATTTCGTTGAATGTAGAATTGTCAACGCAACAATTTAAAAATTTCCAATCTAATATAAATATAATACTGATCTTAGTTTAATAAATGGTGGCAATTTGAAAAACAATAAAAATGTCATATTTACAAATTGTTCGTTAGATGTTACGTGCCTAAGCTGTCGATATGTAAAGGCGAAATAAATTCATTTGTACAGTTGGCAACACTACGACATAACACTGCAATATTCTGTGTTCAGTTTTAGCTTTCCATCAACCTGAGTCATTGGGACACATAAGTAAGGCACACCAACAATACTAAGAAAATGTATGTTCCATAGAAAAGTCTTCAGCTTATAAATGTAGCTATTCAAATGTAGGATACTGAAAATACAGATGGGCCTAATTCACAAGAGTATTTTTCAATTCATAATATGCAAATTACAGCATCTTAAGAGATAGATAAATCAATAAAAATTCAAGCCTAAGAGAATAAAATAAGAGAGCGAAAACTCAAAAAACTGAAAATTAGTTAAGTTTTCATGTTATGGCTTGTAAATTTTTGTCGTTGATTGGATAGTAATGATCGGTCACTGTTGGTATATGGGCTCCTGTGTAGATCCCTTGATATTGCCCTGATTTCAAGCCTCGATATTAATGAGGAATAGTGGCTAGCAGTGGAATCTTGGACACGCGTTATGTCCTACTTTGGACTTGTCGGATGGATGTAATTTTCTTTGACCTTTGATTTGTCGATTTTCATTAGACTTAACTACATTTGTAACAAATAAATGCAACATTTGTTTACGATTATGCGAACTTCATAAATTTCAGTTATCCAACAGATTTCTTATTAACTACAAGCAGTTGTACCATCACAAAGTATTACCTTTTCACTTATAAAACAGTAATTACATAAGAACTAAAGTGTCAGATTTTCGTTTACATGAAAGTAATATAACTATTGATGAATCAAAACTGCTAACTGGCGGTTTAGTCAAAGTGAGCGTGGATCAATTATTTTCATTTGGTATGATTTCACATCGCTGCAGATGTAAAAAATAGTAACATTAAGGAAATCTCTGAGAAACTAATCATACGACTCTGGAGAGGTCATAGGCACGCACTACTGAGGCGTCCCACAAGAGGAGGAAACGGCCATCCAGTGCTTCATGACGAACATTATCTTGGTGCCAAATATTTTTTCATAACCATTACTCGATTGGCTTAACATGCTAGTCGAGTTTGAATAATGTTAACTATTACTTTTCAAAATCATAGCTTATCGATAGTAATCCAGTTACAAAACCTAAGCATCCGTCATTCAATACCACAGTTATCTGTTAATTAGATCTCTGAGATTACTTCATATAGGTGAGAATGGTTATAGTGCTCTCAGTAACGTTTCCAATCTACATCAATCTATGAAATATATCTTAAAACTAATTTGTCTTTTATGCACGCCACTCTGATGAGAATATATTATCTTTGGAGGAATTCCTCTAGTTCCATATTTATTCTAGGCTTTTCGTTTAAATGTGTCTATCTTATCGATATAAAACTTCTTCATGATAACTAGGCAGACAGATAGATGACAGATACATTGGAAATTTAATCTTGTGAATCGTTTAGTTTATCTTGAACATATTTTGGAACTAAAAAATATATTTCTTCGTAAATAGGCTGATACAAACTGAAGTTTAAAAAAAAGCAGCTATTAACTCTATAAACAAGTACTGAAAAGGCTTTTAGTAAATAAAGGCATTTCCTTACTTAAGAAATATTTCAGATACGCGAATCTATTAAGGTAATTTCACCATGATTAAATTCATAGCGAACCTGAGTACAAAACATTTTG